ACTAATACGTTAATGTGTGTGACGCAGAATAGCAGATAAATAAGTCGTCTGTGAGTCTATCTTGTGCATAGCTTGGTAGCAATGATCTACGGTTTACGTCCCATTTAAAATAAGATCTGGCTTCTGTATCAAACTTACCAGGTCTGCCAGTTGACATATAGACAAATTCCCCTTTCATACGCACTACCCATCACCTTTATCGAACATATATTATTTTGCAAAAGTAAACTGGCAGCCCGTGCTAAAAGGCACAACCTGATTTTATTACCATTGAACAGTAATTTCACTACCATTCATAAACGTGAATCATAACGCCATAACACTTTGGCTTTTTTTGTCAGAACACTGAAAATACAGAATGGACCGCGATACTCCAGAGTCGCTGCTGCAGTTCATGGACAATGTCACGGAGTCAGTTCGGGCTGCCTTGGAGCGTCCTGTGAAAGACAAGGAGGTCGATCACAGCACATTACGTCACAAGCAGCTGTTCGATAATCAATCGGACGCCAAAGAACAGCGACGTCACAAATGGCACGCCCGACGTCGTCGCCACAGATTGCCACAACAACCAAAGAATAGTCATCAGCCTGACCAATGGGAATGTCGATCCCCTCACCAGCTACAGGTCCTCAGCCAGATCTTGGGGATTTCTGATCACACCAGGCACGGCGTCCGTAACGATCAACACCTTACCGAGTGGGAACAGAATCTTCACCAGAGTCCTAACGCGTGTAGAGAATACAATGACGATTCGGCCGAGGGTATGTTAGAATGGCAGGGACAGTTTAACAAAGAACCTCAGCAAGGATCAGAAACCCGCCCTGAAGCGTCTTCTCACACTGATTTACCAATCTACTGTCAGGCGGAGGACCAGGGGAGCAAGATGTACTCCCAGATGACCCAGACTCAGTTTACGTACCAGCACAACAATGCGCCTCGTACGTTAGATGAGGTGCTAAACATGATGCCTGTTGGGTGCCACCTTCCACCTCCTGTACATCCAAGCGTATCCAACTTCACTGCCAAGCGTCGTCCGAAACAGATGGACGCTGCCTCTAGGAGGCGGAAGGCGCACATTATGGGCGTCCCAGAAAGTGATGGACGATACTCTCCACCGCAAGTAACACGGACAGCACGAGAAGGGCCCCCACGTTCCCAGAATCAATATGCCGAGTATTGCTCAAATGACGTTGACCTCCTTTCACAGCTAGTTACAGAACTGGACAAAACGCAGATTTTTCATAAACTTACTGGCGAGAGTGTTTTCTCGCAATCACCCAAAGAAATGAATACTGAGGATATGCGAGCTATAGGAAGAAGGTATGCCGACAAATCTAATCGGGAACCCGGGGAACGGACAGACCAATCAGAGTTTGTATATGAATATCAAAAGACATGTAGCGGTTCAAACTCGGGTCTGTTAGAATGGCAGGGTCAGTTTAACTTGGAACCTCAGCAAGGATCAGTAACTAGCCCTGTACTTCCAGATGACCGAGACTCAGTTTACGTACCGCACAACAATGTGCCTCGTACGTTAGATGAGGTTGTAAACATGATGGCTGTCGGGTGCCACCTTCCACCTCCTGTACATCCAAGCGTATCCAACTTCACAGCCAAGCGTCGTCCGAAGCAGATGAACGCCGCCTCTAGGAGGCGGAAGGCGCACATTATGGGCGTCCCAGAAAGTGATGAACGATACTCTCCACCGCAAGTAACACGGACAGCAGGAGAAGGGAGCCAACTGTCCCCGCTCTCCCAGGTTGAGAATATCGAGTATTGCCCAAATGACGCTGACTTCCTTTCTCAGATAGTTACAGAACTGGACACAACACAAAGTTTTGATAAACTTACGGGCGAGAATACTTTCCAACAATCACCCAAAGAAACGTATGTTGAGGATATGCGATCAATAGGAAGAGGGTATGCCGACAAATCTAATCGGGAACGGACAGACTCATCGGGGTTTGTATATGAAGATCAAAAGACGTGTAACGGTTCCAGCTGGGGACAGTTTGGAAGTCAGGCTGCAAAGCAGAACAGGTTTGCGACTAAACAACACTCTTTGGATCTGGCTTGCACATTACAGGAGACCCGTCAGAACAGCCATAGGTTTCCTGACAGCAGGAACCTCCACTTCGGCCGTCATGTTGGGTTTGGTCTGAATGGACTTAAAAGAAATTCAGCATCAATGGAAACTCTGCAATTCGATACTGGATTGGACAAAGAAAACACAGGCCGGATGCAACTCCCAAACATTGACGTATCATTCCCCAAACACCGCAAGTCGAATCTTCTCCTTGCAATGAATGAAAGAAGATCCATGCCGAATTTGTACAAACATATTCCTCAACAAAAATGTATGTCAAGTTCCAATGTTGAAAATGCAAATATGAAGTTTTCGAATGAACTCCGGTGTTTTCGACGGGACGAGAAATCCCAAGCTGACAGCCTAGAAGATTTCTCGAGTCACAGTCTTGACAACGGCTTTGGGGCAATGGACTTGAATGGTGCTGTTGTGCCAAAAAGGCATCAAAAACTTCAAGATATTAACTGGCAGAGTTCTTATTCCGACTGTGGACAACCTTTGCAGTCTGAACTCAACACAATTTAGGATTCCTCTGAGCAGAGCCCAGCTGCAGCGGTCACATCCAGGACATCAGAACTTATCACTGATGGAGGCGACCTAAGAGGAAGATGGAGGAATGACAGCTTGACATGAGACAACGTCATCTCCCCAGCTGCTACTATGGCTCTCTTAATTCTCTCACCTGCGTTCTTAAATATGTGGACAGCTTTAATTTATTGTAATTTATTTTATATGTGCCTTATTCAGTGCTGAATGTAGTGGTTGCTGCGTTGTGAAGTTCGTATTTCTTTAATTCAGGACATTGGTGTCAAACATTTGACAATGACAGAAAATATCGTCAGATTATGTTTTCGGACGGCAGTGTTTACCCTGTTTAACCAGTCGGGTTGTGTCAGTCAGTCATTGTTAGTACTCGTATGGCGGCTTGTGTTTAAGAGTGAGTGACTTGGGTTTTACGCCGCTTTTAGCAATATCCCAGCAATATCACGGCGGGGGACACCAGAAATGGGCTTCATACATTGTACCTATGTGGGGCATCGAACTAGGGGCTTCGGCATGACGAGCGAACGCCTTAACCACTAGGCTACCCCACAGCCACTTGTGTTTAAGATATGTTTTTCTTCAAATGTTAATTTCCATGACATTTTTACAATTGTTTATGCGTAATTCGAGAAAACAACGACTGTTCTTCAGTCTCCGAAACCCTGTAATTCGAGGATGTATAACTACACAGTATGTGATGTGAATTTACCCTTGTATATAATCGTATTATATTAAGTAGAGTGGATTTGCACATGTATTAGAGGACATATTCTACAATTGTTTCAGGACAGAGTCTAACAAGTACTGTTTGTCACTCACATTGAAGTGTGGCTATTTATCATATATTTAGTGGGATATTCCCATCAGTAGGATATACATGTGAATGATATTGTTATTTGGGGACAGAGTCTAACAAGTACTGTTCGTCACTCACATTGAAGTGTGGCTGTTGTAGAGAACTGTGTTTGTAAACATAGAATATTCACGTGCGTTTATGTTTCAAACAAACGAACGTTCGCGCAAACGCAATGTACTTCTCGGAAGATTTGATTGCGTGAAACACGTGGAGTTGAACCTGCACAAGGTTTCTCCGATAGCAGTTTTCAACATACTTGATAGAACTTCGGACATTAGCGGTCGTGCTTTCGACGAACTGACCAATAATAGTTTTTCGTTATAGTCAATGAATAGAGTACTATCTGTATACATATGTGCAAAACAAAACAGTGTATTATCTGTATACAAATGTGCAAAACAAAACAGAATTAAAGTTGAAATAGATTAGTCACAGTTTTGAAATATTTATTTATAGAACACTGCGTAACAGAGGCTATTTATCATATATTTAGTGGGATATTCCCATCAGTAGGATATACATGAGAATGATATTGTTGTAAGTGTCGTCTATATGGAAATGTCTGTACAGTTAACATTGTAGAAACATAGTTTCCGTTGAACTGGACTAAACATTTGGAGTGCTTTTGAACCTGTTCTGGCAGTAGGATATATCTGTGAATGTTAATGATGTAATTGTCATACACTTAAATTTTATATAGAAATGTTTGTGCAGTAACACATTGTGAAAATAAAGAGGTTTCCATGGAATTTTACTAAATTGTTGGGGTGCTTCCAGACCAAGGGACACTGCAGTTCAAAGAGGTTCTTCCTGCTCCCTTCCAAACGGAATGTATAGCAGTGCATGAAGCAACTGGCATAAGGATATATTGTAATCCATTATTATTGGATTAGATGAGTTAGTGACTGAGTATGTTATAAAACATCATTACAATATCAGCTTGACCATCTTTAGGTAACATTTCTACACAACAGAACCACGTGTTTGTTGTGAAAGGACACAATCTTGTAACATTTATTCGAAAGTGGCCTGTAAATATTCAAGTTTAGACCAGACAAACAGTTGATTGAAATATAGAGCATTAACAGGGAAAAGGCGATACAAAACTCACCCTAACCATCTGATTCATTAAGTCACCTCTTAGGACAGCACAGCTTACTGTAGCACAAATGTCATAATTGCGCAAGTCGCTGTCACCAGTCGCTTCCCTTGGGCATACAATTGTGGGTTCAAATCTTGGTTCACCTCAGTTGTTTCAAGGTTTGTTTGTATCACTCCAGTGTTCATAAGAGAATCAAATGAGGGCTGAATGAAAATAACTGAAGTCTCAAATAGACAATCCAAGATTGACATTATGAGTGAGTGAGTGAGTGAGTTTAGTTTTATGCAGCTTTTAGCAATATTCGAGCAATATCACGGCGGGGGACACCGTCTTCGGCGTGATGAGCGAATGCTTTAACCACTTGGCTACCCTGTCTCCCCTGACATTATGAGAAGCAACTCACATGATGATCACTGTCATATCACAGAGCAGGAGCAGGGAACAGTTCTAGGCCAGAATCTCTAAAGATCCAGGCTATTACAGGACATATCATACAAAACACTCACGTATGATGATGGCAATTTATTCAGCAAAGACATGTTTCTAATGCTGTTACACAGATTATCACAGTCTGCAATCGACTGAGGTAGAACAATGTAGACACCCCCCGCTGCAAACAGTTTCACCAACCACATCACAACATCCACAGTTGGAAGTCTGGCCATTATAATAGTTATCTACTGGTCATCCCAAATCTTACTCATCACTTTCACAAATTCAAAACGGGTAGATGACTGCACCATTTGGATATACTGTACCTTTAACTACAGTATTTAGGAATAAAGGCTGTAGGATGATGCAGTTACCAAACTGGGTAGATGACTGCACCATTTGGATATACTGTGCCTTTAACTATTTAGGGATAATGGCTGTAGGATGATGCAGTTACCAAACGGGTAGATGACTGCACCATTTGGATATACTGTACCTTTAACTATTTAGGGATAATGGCTGTAGGATGATGCAGTTACCAAACTGGTAGGTGACTGTGTCTTGATACACTGGGATAATGGCTCCTTGGGTAGATGGCTTTAACCTTTAACTAGGGGATGATGGCTGTAGGATGATGCAGTTACAGCTAATGACTGCTGTGTCTTGATACATTGTCCCTGTCTACATCTGGTTGCACAAACTGATATTACACCTGTCAATCGGTACCTATAATACATTAATTGATTTAAGTGTGCACAGTGTAAAATATGTATTAATCTCTTGATCCATCCCTGATAATTCTGTTAGTAAAAGGGTCTTAACGTATACATAAACTACAATCGCACTTACATAACAGATATTTGTTCAGTCAGGAGTTAATGAAGCCTAAACACATACAAACAGTTGTTTGAGGTAACAGACTAGCTACAATACATCTCGTCTATTAGGAATGCATTTAGCAAACAAGCATTTGCACCTCAATAAAATCAGTTAATGCAGGTTATAGACATGATTGAATCAAATGCACCATCCAGGCCAGCTTTTGTTCTTCTCGCTCTAACAAATTTGTAGCCATACATTGATGTTTCGTACATGTACTTCAGAACATTACAAGCATACAACTTAACAAGCCACATGTCTTTCCATAGTTAAATGAAAAAACCATACATATTGTGAAGGCTTTTTATACTTTTTATATGGTTTGGGTGAAACAATACAGACAGTTCATGATACACAGAATATGACACGTATCGTGACACACATATGAAGTGAAATAATGTGATAATTTCTTGACTATAAATATTTCAAAGTAGGGTGAAAGGGAAATACCAGCTGCTAAGGCATTTGTTCCAGCGGTCAGTATAGAACATGAAATGTGCAATATTTGAATGATAAAAAACCCTGGGATCACTGAACAAGTTGTAAGTAATTAATTTTAGTAAGTGTATCAACTTCTATTGAAAAAGAAAAAAAATGTGTCCATGTATCGTACCATCACGTGAAAACACACACTGCCCTGGTGGTCTTAAGAATACTTTAACCCTTGTTTTCTGTATTGTACTTCTGGGGGAATAGGGTTTGTTGTTGAAATTAAAACCAGCACTAAAATCTTTAGTTAGAACAATTAGAATGGAATGATAACAATAACCGTAAGCCTAAGTGTGTGCAAAATATTCTCCAACAAACCTAATGTAAATTTTCTTCAATTACAATGACTACTTCTCCCAACCAAATAAGACCACACATATATATCTAAATTGTTGTTCAGTGGATCTGTACACCAAACGTAGTAATAAAAACTCTCCTCCAACCAGACTCATGTAAAAATAGAGGGATTCTGGGGGGTGAAGTTTCATGATAAATATATAGCATCTCAACCCAGACAGAAAAACAAGAATTTGTACAATTAATATTTTTGACCTGTATGTTCAGGCTAACACTGCAATTATACTAGTTCACACTTGTGTGCATACATCACAAAACCTGCACAAGGAAGCAAGTGACAATAGCATCGACCAGACATACAGACAGTGGTTATAGTCACAAGAGATCAGAGTTGCCAGTATCTGATGAGTATCAACCAGGACATGGGTAAATGAGGCTATTTATCATATATTTAGTGGGATATTCCCATCAGTAGGATATACATGAGAATGATATTGTTGTAAGTGTCGTCTATATGGAAATGTCTGTACAGTTAACATTGTAGAAACATAGTTTCCGTTGAACTGGACTAAACATTTAGAGTGCTTTTGAACCTGTTCTGGCAGTAGGATATATCTGTGAATGTTAATGATGTAATTGTCATACACTTAAATTTTATATAGAAATGTTTGTGCAGTAACACATTGTGAAAATAAAGAGGTTTCCATGGAATTTTACTAAATTGTTGGGGTGCTTCCAGACCAAGGGACACTGCAGTTCAAAGAGGTTCTTCCTGCTCCCTTCCAAACGGAATGTATAGCAGTGCATGAAGCAACTGGCATAAGGATATATTGTAATCCATTATTATTGGATTAGATGAGTTAGTGACTGAGTATGTTATAAAACATCATTACAATATCAGCTTGACCATCTTTAGGTAACATTTCTACACAACAGAACCACGTGTTTGTTGTGAAAGGACACAATCTTGTAACATTTATTCGAAAGTGGCCTGTAAATATTCAAGTTTAGACCAGACAAACAGTTGATTGAAATATAGAGCATTAACAGGGAAAAGGCGATACAAAACTCACCCTAACCATCTGATTCATTAAAGTCACCTCTTAGGACAGCACAGCTTACTGTAGCACAAATGTCATAATTCATGCTAAGTCGCTGTCACCAGTCGCTTCCCTTGGGCATACAATTGTGGGTTCAAATCTTGGTTCACCCTCAGTTGTTTCAAGGTTTGTTTGTATCACTCCAGTGTTCATAAGAGAATCAAATGAGGGCTGAATGAAAATAACTGAAGTCTCAAATAGACAATCCAAGATTGACATTATGAGTGAGTGAGTGAGTGAGTTTAGTTTTATGCAGCTTTTAGCAATATTCGAGCAATATCACGGCGGGGGACACCGTCTTCGGCGTGATGAGCGAATGCTGTAACCACTTGGCTACCCTGTCTCCCCTGACATTATGAGAAGCAACTCACATGATGATCACTGTCATATCACAGAGCAGGAGCAGGGAACAGTTCTAGGCCAGAATCTCTAAAGATCCAGGCTATTACAGGACATATCATACAAAACACTCACGTATGATGATGGCAATTTATTCAGCAAAGACATGTTTCTAATGCTGTTACACAGATTATCACAGTCTGCAATCGAGGTAGAACAATGTAGACACCCCGGCTGCAAACAGGTAGAACAATGTAGACACTGGTCATCTGCAAACAGTTTCACCAACCACATCACAACATCCACAGTTGGAAGTCTGGCCATTATAATAGTTATCTACTGGTCATCCCAAATCTTACTCATCACTTTCACAAATTCAAAACGGGTAGATGACTGCACCATTTGGATATACTGTACCTTTAACTATTTAGGGATAATGGCTGTAGGATGATGCAGTTACCAAACGGGTAGATGACTGCACCATTTGGATATACTGTGCCTTTAACTATTTAGGGATAATGGCTGTAGGATGATGCAGTTACCAAACGGGTAGATGACTGCACCATTTGGATATACTGTACCTTTAACTATTTAGGGATAATGGCTGTAGGATGATGCAGTTACCAAACTGGTAGGTGACTGTGTCTTGATACACTGTACTCCTTGCTTTAACCTTTAACTAGGGATGATGGCTGTGGTTGCATTGCAGCTAATGACTGCTTGCTGTACATTGTCCTGTCTACATCTGGTACAAACTGATATTACACAGTCAACGTCCTATAATACATTAATTGATTTAAGTGTGCACAGTGTAAAATATGTATTAATCTCTTGATCCATCCCTGATAATTCTGTTAGTAAAAGGGTCTTAACGTATACATAAACTACAATCGCACTTACATAACAGATATTTGTTCAGTCAGGAGTTAATGAAGCCTAAACACATACAAACAGTTGTTTGAGGTAACAGACTAGCTACAATACATCTCGTCTATTAGGAATGCATTTAGCAAACAAGCATTTGCACCTCAATAAAATCAGTTAATGCAGGTTATAGACATGATTGAATCAAATGCACCATCCAGGCCAGCTTTTGTTCTTCTCGCTCTAACAAATTTGTAGCCATACATTGATGTTTCGTACATGTACTTCAGAACATTACAAGCATACAACTTAACAAGCCACATGTCTTTCCATAGTAAAATGAAAACCATACATATTGTGAAGGCTTTTATACTTTTATATGGTTTGGGTGAAACAATACAGACAGTTCATGATACACAGAATATGACATCGTGTCGTGACACACATATCAAGTGAAATAATGTGATAATTTCTTGACTATAAATATTTCAAAGTAGGGTGAAAGGGAAATACCAGCTGCTAAGGCATTTGTTCCAGCGGTCAGTATAGAACATGAAATGTGCAATATTTGAATGATAAAAACCCTGGGATCACTGAACAAGTTGTAAGTAATTAATTTTAGTAAGTGTATCAACTTCTATTGAAAAGAAAAAAAATGTGTCCATGTATCGCACCATCAATGCATGAAAACACACACTGCCCTGGTGGTCTTAAGAATACTTTTTAACCCTTGTTTTCTGTATTGTACTTCTGGGGGAATAGGGTTTGTTGTTGAAATTAAAACCAGAACTAAAATCTTTAGTTAGAACAATTAGAATGGAATGATAACAATAACCGTAAGCCTAAGTGTGTGCAAAATATTCTCCAACAAACCTAATGTAAATTTTCTTCAATTACAATGACTACTTCTCCCAACCAAATAAGACCACACATATATATCTAAATTGTTGTTCAGTGGATCTGTACACCAAACGTAGTAATAAAAACTCTCCTCCAACCAGACTCGTGTAAAAATAGAGGGATTCTGGGGGTGAAGTTTCATGATAAATATATAGCATCTCAACCCAGACAGAAAAACAAGAATTTGTACAATTAATATTTTTGACCTGTATGTTCAGGCTAACACTGCAATTATACTAGTTCACACTTGTGTGCATACATCACAAAACCTGCACAAGGAAGCAAGTGACAATAGCATCGACCAGACATACAGACAGTGGTTATAGTCACAAGAGATCAGAGTTGCCAGTATCTGATGAGTATCAACCAGGACATGGGTAAATGACAAAAACAATAGATACCTTACCACTGTGGACACAAAAATAAATATTTATATTAACTATACTACATCTCCCCGATCAGATAAACAAAGAAATGACTGTGATTAACAAATATGTCTTAAATGTCAAACATAATGCAAACAATATTTTACTGGAGAGTTAGTGAGACATATCAATATTTAGGACTGATCATAATACTCTCTGTCATCTTGGCCAGGTCTGTGATATTCATCCTGAATCATACTTCATCAATCATATAAACATGCATTACTGAAAACATATTAACTGTTTCTCTATACATCAATAATTATTGTCAAAGATCATCATGCTTTACTGTTACACAAATACTAACAAAGTTCTACCTTTTGTTGAATATTTCAGCTCCAAGACTTGTTTAAGTCGATTTGATGAACGTTATAGTGTGTAACATGTTATATTTGGGATTACACTTTCTTAGTAAAGTTCTCAAATTCTCGTACTTTTTGGGCTGAGTCCCAGATGGGATTCAAACCAACACCCTCAGAGTCAGGCACCTAATCACCAGCACACAAAGTCAGCCGCCAAACCCACTCAGCCACCGCAACTTTCTTTACTAAGAACGTGTAATCCCAAATATAACACGTTACATTCGACCACTTTCTAAATTTTCTAAATGGCATTGTGTAATCATGGTAGTGTGTAGGTGATATATGTTTATTGTCTGCTAAAAGAAAAGATTTTTAAAAATCTTTAAATAAAAATGTATTTATTTCAACTGCTTGTAAAGTAATAATTCTGTAAAGTCTGCACTTTCAGATAATATTCCAATACAATGACAGAACTTATTTTTTCAGAAAATATGTAGCTTTACCTAAAACCTAGTAAAAGTTTCCTTCTCAAATAGTAAAACATACAATATACAAAGAAGTACAAGTATTTGTTCAAAAGTGTATACATATATAAATAGTAAGAACATATTTGTTGACTATATACAGATTGCATTGTTGAACAAACTCGTAAAGAGTTCATTAGATTAAAAGGCAAGATGCTAAGTTCAAACAAATAATCTGAAATTAAAACTGAAAAAGATATATGTAAACAGATGGTCATTTTCTAATTCCTGATCCAAATACAGTCTAAAAGATAACCAAATGGATCCAGTTTTGAGTAATTAGATAAGGATTTGTTATTTTTGTCATAGTTATGTAATAACATATCAAGCAAAATATACCAGTAGATATTGTTCAACTGTACAAGAACTGAATTAATCAATCACAGAATAGTTGGAAATGCAAACTGCAACACCACGAGTGAAACTTAACCAGTTGCAGTGGTTGTAATCTGACAGCCAGATTACGAAGAGCATGGTCGATGTCGTATGTGGAAGATAGGTACTGTCACTGCTGAGTCAAGCTCAGGTCAGTTTCCATTGGGAATACTATGTCCATTGGTAGACACTGAGGTGAGGGATGTGTCGTAACACAGGTCCAGGAATGTCCGTGTCAACTCTGACACAAGGGTACGGTCGGGGATGCTCTGAGCCATACCATAGATGACAGCCTGTGAACCACAATGTATTTAGGAATCAATTGCTAAAGAGGTATTATTGAAAAGGCAAGGTATTTTATGGACAACTTTTTTTTCTATCATGATGTGACATTTCGTTATAAATCCTTACAGTGCTGTCAAGCAAGAATGAAGTAAAATGAGTGAGTGAGTGAGTTTAGTTTTACACCACACTCAGCAATATTTCAGCTATATGGAAGTGGACTGTAAATAATTGAGTCTGCACTAGACAATCCAGTGATCAACAGCATGAGCATCGATCTACGCAATTGGGATACAAAGACATGCATCAACCAAGTCAGCGAGCCTGACCACCCGATCCCGTTAGTCTCCTCTTACGACAAGCATGGGTTACTGAAGATCAATTCTAAACAGCATCTTCACAGGTCTGAAGTAAGATGGCAGAGTACAGACTTATATACATTAAATTAGGTTTAACAAAGACAACACAAAACAAGCTGCTGATTGAAAGCAGGGGATGTGAATAGAATAAAATAAAGCTGTCAGCTTTACAATATCGTAACTTCACTGTTACTTACCAACTTCTTAAAATTCAAATCAAACTAATCAATGAATCAAAGATATCACTGACAAAAATGTAATTTTTAGAATAAAATTGATATTTTATACTTATCCTGACTTATGCTTATTTGCTTGTCTTCTTCTTCTTTGCGAACTTAGTGGAACACTTGTATCTCCTTATTGAAGCTCCCTTCAATAAAACGTGCGTAAAATCACTAATCACTACTCACCAAGAGTTGTCCCTCCTTCCTTTTGCGCGGGAAACTGGCGCCACCCGTCTCCCACATGCTTCACTCTCTCCTGAATACGAGCCCGACACTTGAACTTACAGGGAAATCCAAAGTGTCTTGTGGGGAGGTTGGGAGGGCTTTCCTCATGAGTCAGGATAAGTATAAAATATCAATTTTATTCTAAAAATTACATATTTTTCCTTATCCTGACTCATGCTTATTTGCTTGTAGAATCCGACGGAATAAGGAGGTGGGCAAAAAGGCACTTAGGATTTCATTAGTGAATTTTACGTCAAAATAAACCCCCTTATGGGAACTTCATAATGGCACTGTAATTATGCTAATTTCTGCTGCTGTACACAAAGAGTTCTTTCAGCTGCCAATTGATGGGTGGACCACAATAGTTAACTTGGTCCTATTTGGTTAATATTTAAATGTGGATTTAGCGACTCCAAAGTGGGGAAGCAACCCAAGTACTAGGAATACAAGTACTGGGTTTAATATTTATGCTAGTCCTGAAACGTGCATAGATACTGAAGCAAAACTCTATAGAGTGTAGTCTTGATCAGTCATGAGAAACACGGCGAGACAACGTCTCACCTTCTGTGGGGAACTGTCAACTGCTGTGCGACAACCAGAGGGCCGAAATGGTGAATGCCTGAGACGTCCTCGGTGGCGATATCTAATCTAGCGCATGGATTTCCGATATCCTGGCTGCTATTGCTAGGGCCAACAGGAATAGTGTTTTCTGTGTCAAAAATTCGATTGATGTCGTTTCTAGCAGTTCGTAAACGTTGCTAGTGAGATGTTTGAGAACAATATTGAGGTCCCATGCCGGAGCGTGAAATCTCTGTTTCTGATCCTCCAATGTATAAGAGCGTAACAAGGCCAGTAACATTGGTACCTTTGTTAATTTTGCACCCGTCCTCATAGTTATCACAGAACTCAAAGCCGCTAGGTATGTTGAGAGTGTAGATCCTTTCAGACGTTTGGTTTGTCGTAGGTGACAAAGATAGTCTGCCACTTGAGGATGTAAATCTTTTTTAGCAGCGTAGGTCTCAAAACTGCGCCACTTGTCGTCGTACAAGTTGTGTCGAATTGCGTAAAGCAAGCGTGACTGCTTTTGCCGCTCTGGCTGAGTAACCTCTCTTGTTTAAGCATGCCTTAATACAGTCCACACGTGAAGTTGGAATGCCTCTGGGTATCTGTGCGCTTGTTTTGTGTGAGGATGTACTAGTAGATTCGATCGCTCTGGTAGTTGCAGATTTGGTGGTCCGAGTTCTTTTATGAGAATGGGAAACCACGTTCTCGCTGGCCAGTAAGGCGCGACCAAAATCAGTTGGAGATTCTTTGTCTGCCTGATTTTCTGTAATACCCTCGGTAGTAGCGCTGGCGGAGGAAACGCGTACGCATTTAGGCCTTCCCAGGATATGCTGAGAGCGTCCGTTGCCCACGCTCGTGGATCTGGGACTGGAAAGACGAATGTTGTTAGCTGATTGTTGAAGCGTGTGGCGAATAGGTCTATTAACTGAGGTCCTATTTCCTTGATAATCTGTGTGAATATCTCTGGATGGAGCATCCACTCTGTCGGCGATGGTAGAGCTGGACGGGATAGTGCGTCTGCTAGGACATTCTTGGCTCCTGGAATGTGACATGCTTTTACATGGATGTTCAGATCGTCGATTAGGTCGAACAGTTGAAAGCAGAGATGTAGTAGGTTCATTGATCTTGTTGAGCCTTGCTTGTTTATATAAAACGCCACTGTTGAGTTGTCTGTGTGTACCATGAGATGCGCATGCTGTAGAATGGTGCTCCAATGGAATATGGCGTTGATTGCTGCTTTCATCTCCAGCATGTTGATATGTAGACATTTCTCCTCCTGGCTCCATATTCCGGATGCTACATGGTTGTCGAGATGTGCTCCCCAACCTTGTAGTGACGCGTCTACGTATAGATGGGTCTTAAATTCCGGCTCTGCTAAATAGGTGCCTTCGCAAACATTCGACTTCCGGGTCCACAAAAGTAGATGAGGTCTGAGGTGATTCGGTAGACCGAAGGGTTGTAGGTCGTCGAGATGAGCATTGATGAGGACTTGTAATGGGCGTAGCTGTAGTCTGCCTCTGACTGTCAAGTCTTGAGCGGACGTGAGGAGACCCAACAGACTCTGCCACTGTCGTATGGGGCACAGAGAGAGTAAGGCTTGAGGAATGGTGTTTTGAATCTTGAGCCATCGGTCCTCTGGTACGATGATACGATTCTGCGTCGTGAGAAATCTGATGCCTAGAAACTGTAGGTCCTGCGTAGGTTGTAGGTCCTACTTGAGTAGATTCACTAACCATCCTAGCTGATTGAGTAGATTGATGGTGAAATTCAGTTGTAGTTTGAGACGGCCTGGATCTTGATCTACTTGAATCCCGTCGTCGAGGTAGAATGCATTGCGTAGGCCTCGATGATGTAGATATGTGACTATGGGTTTCGTTACTCTTGTAAACAACCAGGGGGCCGATGATATTCCAAATGGGAGGACCTTCCATTGGTAATGTAGACCGTCTAGTGTAAATCTGAGGTATTTTCTCGAGTCGGGATGTATCGGGATATGCAGGTAGGCATCCTGTAGATCTATGCTTGCCATGTAGTCCATCGGACGAACGAGCCAGATTAGTTGAGACAGATGTATCATGCGGAACTTGGGAGGTCTGCTTAGATAAACTTTGTTGAACTTGCTCATATTGTAGATGAGTCGAAACTTTTCCTTGGAATTTTTCTTTGGCACTAGGAAAACTGGGGAGTAGAAACCTGGTTCGATGTTGTTTTGATCCACTATTTCTATGGCCTGCTTGGTTAGAAGAGATGAGACAGCCTCTCGTAACTTCTCTATCTGTAGTATGTTGCAGTCGAACTTCTGTGGTTTGACTGTCAGCGGTGGATCGTCCTGTAGTTGGATGCGATATCCGTATCTGAGGATGTTGGATACGTATGGATCTTGTAGTATTTCCCAGTTTCTCCAGTGACGTTGTAGACGTCCACCCACTTGTGAAGGTCGTACAGGAACGGTTGGGGGTGGAAGACTCCAGTCGTTCCGAACCCGTCTTTCATCGTCAATAATTCCGGGAGCCTCTGGGTGCCCTGCCTCTTCCGGATCCTCCCCTGTAGTTGCCGAATGGACAGCGAAAAGAGTCCTTCCCGCCTCTGGAGTTGGCCACTTTCTTGTCACGTGCCCTCTGTAACCCTGGAAACTTGGATCTTCCCGAGTATCGTTGTGTTGTCTGCTTGAATATGCTAGCTGGAGTGTCCATGGACTTAATCATTAAGACCTCCTTTGAATCTTTAGTGACTTCCTTGGCAACTCTGTCGATTTCTCCAGCAAAGATGGCAGGAGTTGACCATGGGGCTGTGTACAGTGGTGCTGTAAATTGTTCACTCCAACTGCAGGAGGCGAGGAGACCTTGACGACGAGCCAGAGTTAACGCTGCGGCGACGGATGAAAGGTGATCTGTCAAGAATTGTTGGTCCTTCTTTTGCATACGGAGGGACGAGTAAATCATTCTGTCTTCCTCCGCCGTGGAGTCTTGAAACTTGGCGATGAGCGTTTCGTTGACTGTGCGAGATCTGTTGAGGCCGAAGAACATTCTTCTGGTCATAGCTTCTACTTGAGCTAGCTTGCGGTCCTCAATCTTGTAAAACTTGGCCTTGGCATCGTTGATTACTTTAAAGTTATCATCAATCTCCTGAGCTTTGAGGAAGGGATCCATATTATGAGTGGAGAACTTCCTGGCGTTGAACTGTGGCAAATGTGGCACCTGAGCTTTAGTAGCTGTCTTGAAAGCTGCGTCCAAGTTCTGTGAGACTGTAGCGATGGGATCGATCGGAGGTAGCGTGAGCGTGTCGACGTTGTCATCTCTCATAAGATAGGTGTGGGCCGGATTATCGTTCTTAGATGGAGAAGCCAGGTCCAACCCGTTAGCCATCCAGTAGCGTATATCAGAGTCCGAGAAGATGATGCCACCATCGTCTTCTGTAACCGGAGTGCTGAGGATGGGATGTTGATATTCCTCCGATGGTGAATGAGGTGGAGTCCTGCCTGACTGTGGCGATCTACGTGGAGACCTGCGCGGAGACTTGTAAGGCGAACGTCGTGATGACCTGTGTGGAGACCTGCGTGGAGACCTTCGCGGACACCTGCGTGGTGATCGGCGAGGGGAACGACGTGGTGAGTGACCCGACGAACTGTGCCTGTAGGAAGACCTGTGGGTTCGCAAAGGTGCTGGTGAGTTCCTTGACGATCTACGGGACGAAGATGTCTTATAAGCTGGCGTGGATATCCTTCCCGAAGCTTCATCTGAGTCCGCACTTGGGGAATGACGACTGGTCCTTCGCGAAGGCTGGTCCGAGTCATATTCCGGGGATGAACGATTCCTCCTCCGTGAACGCCTCTGTGATCGTTGATCATCTGTGTCCGTAGTAGGTGTAGCCCTTCGCGAAGGTCTTCGTGAACGCTGATCGTCTGGGTCCTCCACCGGGGTTGACAGGGTCGAGCTATCGCGGAGGCTGGTCCGTTGAAGTTGTGACGTCCTTCGCGAATGTCCTCGTGATGTTGGTAGACTTGTCGCTGATGGCAGGTCCCTCAGAGGTGTTGTCTACGTTGGAGCCTTCGCGAAGGCTCGGACCCAGGGCTGGTCTCTTTTCCAGGCTGTAGCGTTGCTCCATCATTTGCATGATTTGCTGGGAGAACTGCTGTATGAAGTCGCCTGGGAAGGTCTGCGGTGGTACCAATGCTGCTCTATCTGCGTTGGTGGCGACGGGGCCCATGGGACGATCATCTGTTGTCAGCGTTGATACATCGGGTTGACCATGGATCTGCGCTGACGTCACCGTAGCTGAAGTCACTGTAGCTGAGACCGGTCGTTTCTTGTGATGAATGTCCGGGATGATAATCGGCTGATCATCATAAAGGCCCTGTTCTGCGACAGGGAACGATCTCGGCCGAGAAAGTTCTAGACGACTGTGACTTCTCCTTGGTGTTGGACGCTGCCCTAGGGGTGCGAAGTCTGCGCTGGGTGGTAGACGACTTCCTAGTCTTGGGCTGCGACGATGGGATGTCTTGAGATGCCGGTCGCTTCTTGGAGGTGGCGGACTGCGTCCCACGCCTCTCCTCCGAGGGAAACTCTAGCGGAACACCAGACGGTAGGGGGTCGTCCGACAGCAGTTGACCAGTGAGGGACTCAGCCGAGTTCTCCATGACTGGGGCAATCTTACGCGACCTATCAGCAGCACGTCTCAAAACACCAAGAATATATTTATTAAATGCACAAGTTGATAAAGGTTTGGAGATACTGCAACGAGAGCTGAAAGAACATGGTACAGTGCAACTAGGGCATATTAGGTGTGGGTCAGCAGCAGAGAAACGTAACTTGCATATGGAACAGATTTTCATGAACGTAGACTACTGAACAATCACGGAATAACCCGCGAATAAACAGTGAGAAATACGAATAAATATCAAACCATATTGATGAAGGATACTAGCTAAACCTCTATAAGGAATTAATAGAGGTAACTAACTAATTAATCAAAGGATATAGTGCCGTAAGAAGACACAGGCGCTCTCACAACCTGCTCACTGGGCGAAGAAGTAGAGAGTGAAGCATGTGGGAGACGGGTGGCGCCAGTTTCCCGCGCAAAAGGAAGGAGGGACAACTCTTGGTGAGTAGTGATTAGTGATTTTACGCACGTTTTATTGAAGGGAGCTTCAATAAGGAGATACAAGTGTTCCACTAAGTTCGCAAAGAAGAAGAAGACAAGCAAATAAGCATGAGTCAGGATAAGGAAAAATTTCACTAATACTAAATATAATATACATGTCAAACACAGGTGCCCATCATGTCATTGTATCACAATTACGTAGATCGATGCCCTTTTATGATGGATGTTGATCACTGGATTGTCTGGTCCAGACTCAATTATTTACAGACAGCCGCAATATAGCTGGAATATTGCTGAGTGTGGCGTAAAACTCACTCACTCACTCACAGGACAGTAAATATAAAGTATATGTAAACCATATTTTTCCTGAAACATCTCATATCTCTGTCCAAAATTTGTGTACTCCATCAGGATCATGTATAGCTGCTCCGAGTGAAATACTTACGGCGCCTCCGGTTTTAGCACCTGGGTCCTTCATGATGTCGGCCGTCATGGTGCTCACATCATTTACGAAGCTGTCGATCACTCCATCTTTTGTGTGCAGCAGAGTCAAACAGATGTGAACACTGCAACATAAACAGTGATCACATAACACCACAGTAAAAGAGGTGAGGTGAGGTGAGGTGTGGTGAGGTGAAATGGGGTTTAACGTTGTACTTAAGAATATTTCGCTCATATGACAAGCGTGATTGCGTGTGTATGTGTGGCTGCTTGTACTAGCCCAGACTTAAGCTGGTTTTACAGTGCTAGCTCACTGAGATACCATGCTGCAGTTAAGCATGAATACCCCACTCAGACACATTATACTGACTCCAAGCCTACCAATCCTTTTGTACCCAATAATGCCAAGCGCCATGCAGGGACCAACAAGTACAATATTTTAACGACTTTTGGTATGATGCGGCCTTCCACTCTCCAGGCGGACATTCTAACCACTAGCCACGGAGGTGGCCCCACAGTAAAAGGGAATGGGTTGTTTTTTCATCCCAACAACTCAATGGCTGAAAGAGTAACTAGCAAAAAGACATTCGAGAATTTTTCTTGTTAAGATTTCAAATTTTAGATTTACACAGTAACAGTTCATATCTCAATTTCACGCAGTATATGACACCAGAACTTTGATTGCAATAATCATTTTAGCGCTGAACCTGGATTTTTGTATTATAAACAGTACATTGAACATAATAAGGGCGATTTGGGGATACCAAGATGGTTTGTGAGGTAGTTTGGGATATTTTCAAACTCATTAAATTCAGGTCTTAGTGCTTGCTAAAGCTACATGAACATCTTAAGACAAAACAGGAAAAACAAACTTGGCCATATAGATGACTCACAATAACCAACAGTTACAGTACATAACAGCACATTAACACCTTTCACAGTCAACAGTGTCAAACTGGCACCTCCAGTTCCTCACTATGCTTTGAAAGTATTTTGATTAAAGTTCTGAGCCAGGTAGCAGGAAGGGTCCGTCAGAACAACAAACTGGAGCTATTCAAGATCATATTGAACACGGTAATACAAAAAACAGTAGATATGAGCACTTGAGTAATAACTTACCTGGGAGGGAACTGCAGAGGGTTGAGTGTCCAGCCCTTGGAAGCCAGTGCATCAGAGAGTCTGTAGATGTTGAAGTCATCTGATCCAATTGCTATCACAGACACATCTGGCTTCCCAATCAACTTGATTCCATTGATATTGCGCAACCTGTTAGAGACACGTACTACTCATGTACCACACGTTTACATACAGTGTATTAATCACACCAAGTTTGGTAACATACGAGAAAACAAATCAAATCTTAGGGCTCACTTGGTGTAGCAAGCACAAGGATCTGCTTGAGTGATTTGGTTTTTAAATTGTTTTGAACAGCACTATAATCATATCAGTCTGCCAGCATTACATGTAAGGACAATCACAAGTGATGCAGGTGTTAGATGTTTACCACATGATCACAGGTATGGTGTTTACTGCTCAACATGAGCACAGGACCTCCACTTTGGGAGTACCTTTAGAATTCAGCACCACAAATGCATGTGAGGATGATCTCACCAAAAAGTCACATGTCACTGAGACAAGCAGCAGGTTTGTGAGAATCCGCAACACGCAAACTTGCGACCTTTGGATTGTTAGCCTCACAGTTAACCACCCCAGCTACGTCCATATTGTTGTTTTACTTGTAAATTTGTATAGTCTTGTATGAGAGCTACGGAAATTCACTTTTAGAATGATACCGATTACATTTGGCACACTTGTTCTAATATGCTATTTACATGATTGTGAGTGGTGTAAAGAGAGCTGATATGGTGCAGACTGAAAACGGTTGTAGATGTCAGTGGTCGAAGTACGTATGAGTAACATTGGTTATTGGTTTAATAAACCTTTTCAAGTTAATTTTTTCAAATTGCTGTCATTCATTAAAAATATTGAATATCATAATCAAAACTGACAATGCATCTCTCCTTTAGATGGTGGTTCCTGAATTTGAAAACAATATAACCAATACATTTCAAGTACAGATGGAATTCCTTGGTAAAACAATATACACGTACCTCTTTAGGTCGGGCGTTTAATAAAAGGGCTTTCACAAAACTGGCCCTTGGTATATAATGTGCCAGTGCAGGCCGTATTCAGCACACAAATACTGAAATTCTTACTCAATGACAATGCATACAGAGATGACAGATCACTGAGAGGAGATTAGGCACACTTGACGACCCAGCAACAGTCTGATGTCACAGAGCACTGTTTTTTGTAACAAAGATTCACAAATTATGTCACAAGGTATTGTGATGTGTTTGTTAAGTTTGTGGTGCTGAATTCTAAGGGTAGGGATCTGACCTTAGGATTCTGGCTTAACTAAGGGATGTGACACTGTACAGCTTCCATAGCATTGATTCTAAAGGACTCACTTTTCTTCCATGTACTTGGTGGCATTGATGATCTTCCTTGTGGCATCTATATATCCATCTTCTCCTATGTACATCATAGTCGCCCAGCAAGCTGCTATTATGGCTCCTGCTCTGCTGCCTGTTAAAGGGATGAAGAATCAAGTATTGGCTTAAATGCTTTGGAAACACATTCTAAATTTGATCGCATAAAGATTGTTCTGCTTGTTTCATTTTTTTAATTCCCATACATTAAAGATATACAGAAAACATACCATTTCATGCACACTTTGAAATGTGAAATATTACATAGAAAACATCATCAGGGGCCCTAATGTGCAATACAATTTAACACCTGGGCCCTGAAAAACAAGAAGTCATGGTCTTCAATATCTGAATATTCTGTTCCTATTTTGACAACTATTCATTCTTCGTACAAATAGCGATACATAAGTAGGAACAATTACAAGTATTGTTAGTAATTGTTAGTAAACTTACCTCTGGATTATGGTTGCCTTATTCCTGTGGTTACTACAGACACATACAAAAAAATGGAAAAGAAAAACAATCCCTACGTCATAGTTACCCTGGTGGTATGCCCTTCCCCTATGGAGTTATCTCCCCTTAAATCGTGACGTAAGAGCACGCCCTTTTAAACCTCACAATTTTTATGAATAACAGAATCTTCTGCCATGATTAGCAGGGAGGATAAAAACAAAAGAAAAGAAGGGAGGGTAAGCTAACACCCATAATCCAGAGGATTAAGTTTACTAACAATTACAAAGCGTATGCCATCATGTTGTCCCAAGAACAATACTTGTAATTGTTCCTAATTATAGGCTCCCAGCTGTGTGATCAAAATTCCCTCTATTCTGGATTATGGTTGCCTGCTCGTTGGTCCACCAAAGTATCTCTCCATTGAGTTTCTGTGGAAATGGAAGGCCCGTGTCTAGGTCTAAGTGTCTGTTCTGGTGGTTGATCCATACCTGACACTCCCGTAAAATGGATCCGACGCTGCGTTGAGTAAAATCCTCAGGATTAACCAGCGATCTGGCGGAGGATAAATGAAAGACACTCGAGAGTCCAAGATTGCCCCAAAACTTGATTCTTGAGGTTGGAATTAATTCTGATTTGTCGGGATGCAATAATTAGACCCAAAATGAGTAAACACATGGATGAGAATAAATGAAAGACACTCGAGAGTCCAAGATTGCTCCAAAACCTGATTCTTTAGGGTTGGAATTAATTCTGATTTGTCGGGATGCACAATTAGACCCAAATGAGTAAACACATGGATCCGAATAAATGAAAGACACTTTCGAGAGTCCAAGATTGCCCCAAAAACTTGATTCTTGAGGTTGGAATTAATTCTGATTTGTCGGGATGCACAATTAGACCCAAATGAGTAAACACATGGACCTAATAAATGAAAGACACTCGAGAGTCCAAGATTGCCCCAAAACTTGATTCTTGTGGTTGGAATTAATTCTGATTTGTCGGGATGCACAATTAGACCCAAATGAGTAAACACATGGACGATGAACTTGGTTTTGTTTGAGTAGAGTCTGAGTGATAGTATTCCTTGCTAAAATATTGTCCAGGTATCCGTGAATGGCAATGTTCCTGCGATGGAGGAAGTTTAGTATGGGATTCATCATTACGAGAAGAGCCAAGGCTTAGGATATTCAAACGGAAGCACTAGAAACTGAAATCTCCGGCCGTTGACTGCAAATCTGAGATATTTCTGGGAGCCTGGATGAATAGGATTGTGCAAATATGCATCCTTCAGATCTATACTTATCAATTTTGGTGGAGGACGGATGAGTGTGCGGAGGTTGAATTTTGGTGGTTTTAGAGAAAAGTTTTTGTTCAGAACCTTCAGGTCTATAATCATTCGCATCTCGTGTGTGTCTTTTTGGGGGACAAGAAACACTGGAGAATAAAAACCCAGGGAGGTATCGTGACTGGGAAGCTCTATTACCGTCCGTTTCTCCAACAATTGATCTATTGCCTGAGTAGCTGCAGAGAGGCGAGGTTCCTGTAGAAAAAATCTCCGTCCCGTGGGCTGGATCATCACTGTTGGTAACCTGTCCCATGGTAAAATAAAACCCCTTTTTACAAGTGACAGGATCCAAGGGTCCCGTGTGATCTGTCTCCAATTGTCTATGTACAAGAAAATCCGGCCCCTCACAGGGGAAGGAGTAACTGGAATCATAAAAACGTGATATAGCTCTAACTTGGACATAACCGGTTCGTAAGGCTGAGAGGAAAGTGTTCTTGGAACGTGTATGTCAAAGTCTTCTTCCGCCCGCTCTTGAGGAGCGATAGGAACCTCTACCCTTACTTCTTCCTCTGAAACTGCTCCCGAGAAGGAACAGCAAATGAGCGTGGTCTGGATTCCGACATACGTTCAAAAGCCGATCTTTGTAAAGAGTCCCAACGGCCCAATGATGATGAGCGAGACATCATAGATGATGGAGTACCTCTCCTACTTCTAGGAACACTGCTGGATCTATTTTGAGCAAGTAGAGCAGAAGCTAATTGCTGATTAAGATTACGCGAGGTCACAGCATCCCTAGTCGCAATGGCCTGATGACAATGTCCATTAAAGATGGCAGGAGAGTTAATGGGTTGCTGAAAAAGCTGATCCTTCAATGAATCAGGCAGGTTCTTCACAGAGTGTAAACGCTGAGAAGGATCCACAGCAGTCAAACATCCTAAAGTGTTAACTTGGGTATGTGTAGCATCACTGACCCCCTGGTACACTATGTCAAGGAAAGAGTGTGCTAAGGCAACTTTGTGGGCTGACATCGCCACTAAGGTATCCTTCTTTACCCCCGTGTACTCTTGAAATACAGGGGGAAGCAAGGCCCTAACACCGGCCGCAAACCAATTCACATATGATAATATGTCCACAGAAGCTCTAGCTGCCATATCTAAATCACGCACATCCCTGCTAGATAACTGAATGAATTGTTCCTTAGGAGCCGTAGGATCTAGTTGAGAAAAATCATCATCCAGTTTAGGTGGAGCAGAGGGTAATAATCTGTCATGAATGCTGTAACCCAGTTTTTGAGAAACCCTGGGTAAACTAGTTACATTCTTGACCTTGGCAAGTTGTGTGTTATATGTTTGTAAGGCTGACTTAACTAAGGATGAGTGTGGTAGTGAAAGTCTAGAGACACGTTCAGGTGGAAGACATCCTGATGTCCCAAGTTCCAATGGAATTTCCTTCGCCGGTTGATCAGATGGAGGAGGCACCGTAGACGGATAAAGTTCATGAATGAATTCAATTTTCTCTCTAAGGGACCATCCTGGTATGTAATCATCAGCTTCCGTATCCATGGAAGGGACTGTCAACAAACCGTCTCGCATAACAATGGCTGGATGCGAAACGGGGTAAACACTAGATCCGTGCTGATCCGAAAATAGGAGGATTGTCAATATCCAGTGACCCAGACTCCCCAGCCGCCTGATCAAACGTGCCGCCCGTGGCTAGGGTTGACGACCGCTGAACTTCAGCCGAGCTGCACGTCCCATCCAAGCCAGCAGTGCTAACCCTTACTTGACACTGGGCTGACCTAGTGACAGCTATGTGATCACAGACATCCCTGTCAAGACCGCACGGCCTGTGCTGCATGCTTGCGTCTGTGCTAGTATTAGTAATCAGCTGACTGGCACAAATATTTAGGGAATCTGCCGACCCGGGCTGAAAACCCGAGACAGGCAGGCTACCATCGGCCTGTGCCATGGATTTATCCTGCTGTCTGCCGACACAGTCGGCTGTCCCTGCTCCGCTCGAATGCTGCTGCCCCACCCTGGGGGATCGGCGTTCAGCTTCAGACAGGAGATGCCCCACTCTCTGGGACAGAGCTCCTGACCCGCCTATGGGTACTGACCCTAGACTGTGGCCCTGGCTGGCGTCTTACGGTTCTAATCGACTTAAGGCCGATCGGGATTCAAATTGCTTCTGCAGATTGGAAAACTTGAGATCATTACATGACTCCAGCTCATTTAATGATTTGTTAACCGAAGCCGAAAGTTTGTCTTTAAGGGAATCAAACAAATTAGTAATGGCGGCCAGATCAAATGATGCAGAAGACTTGGTTTTTGAGGAAGAACGGGAAACACCTTTGCTTGTGCTATCCGATTTACTAGATTGGGAATCTGAGGAAGATTTAGCACGTTTTTGAGAGTCAGAAGACACAGAAGATTTCCTCTTTTTAACAGAATTCCTGGCGGCGGCCATTTTGATACAGTCGTCAGAATTTAGACTTGAGCACAATAAACACTTATTGTCTATGGTACAGGGAGGATCCTTGAGACACGCTGCACACAAGGCATGAGGATCAAGATCCGACATATACTTCTGACACTGTAAGCACTTGCTTTGCGCCATAGCGTGGGAAAAAAACGGACACAATGAAAAAGTTATTATAAATGTCACAAAGTTGAGAAGATCTTGATAATTCACAATTAATCGATGATAAACGAATCACAGTAGAATCTTTTCCAAATTTCTGGAAGCGTCCTGTGCGTAGCACATACAGAAAAATTGCGAGGTTTAAAAGGGCGTGCTCTTTGACGTCACGATTTAAGGGGAGAAAACTCCATAGGGGAAGGGCATACCACCAGGGAAACTATGACGTAGGGATCGTTTTCCTTTTCCATTTTTTCTGTATGTGTCTGTGGTAACCACAGGAATAAGGCAACCATAATCCAGAGGGAATGTTTACGCCTATAATTTGGTAAATCAGAAAATCTGTTCCCATTGGGGATAATGTGCACTAAGTCTAGAAATGCATGACAACGGCCATAACTCTGTAAAGAATCATAACACGGTTTCCATTTGCGAACTCCATCAAGACATTCATGTCCTGAAAAAACATACCACATTTGGTTTCCCTATCTATAAGAGTTTTTGAGAAAATCTGGCCCCATTTGGGATACTGTAAACTAAGTCAAGAAACGCATGACAAGGGCCATAACTCTGTAACAAATTGTAACATGGTTTCTGTTTTACGAACCCCATCAAGGCATATATGTCCTGAAAACACATACCAAATTTAGTTTCCTTTATCTATAACAGTTTTGAGAAAATCTGTCCCCATCATCTCCGACAGACGGAAAGAGGTCAAACCTATATCCCCCGTCCACTTCTTGATGGGGATAAAAATAAGTTTATTGCCATATATATCAGTATCACCATGGTTATGTTGCCCACATGAACAGGAAATATTAACATAAAGTTAATAACCAGGCAGTGTAATTACATAGATAATATCTGTAATCAAACCTGCATTAGTTAACTTGGAACATTATCAACAAATATATTAATTCTTAGAATTCTACCTCTAACACTAGATTGTCTTTAAAAAGAGAGCAAGAAATAAAGCAATGGTGTTGTCGCTCTTCTGAGTGGTCTTCCCAAGCACTAGCTGTATGTATTATCACCCTGTAAATTTTCTGAGGGTTTGCCTTTCCATTTGGATATAAATTGGGGTAAATCTAAGGCAAGCTAGTATATCGAGTGTCACATGCTCATGGTAATGACTTGATATTTATAGAAATAACAATTTGTAGTAACAGTAAAGGTTCTCTGATTGCACTGCATGTTATTTGCAGAACTGCAGAAAAAACACTGGATATATATATTTACAGATGTCACCATTTCATTTAACAAATTCCCAAATGTCCTAGGGGAGGAGGAGGAGGAGGAAAGAAAGAGAGAGAGAGAGAAGAAGAAGAAACCCCTCAAAACCCCTACCAGTGGTGCCTCCCATTTTCTCTCCAACAATATTGGGTTGGGTTGGGCAGGGCCCTCTCACATCTAATTGCATGGACCCAGGGCTCTATTCATATACATAAAAAATGATCCCTGATAACATTGATAAAGGAAATTAAATGTAAACTCTGGTCAGTTCAGTTGAATCTATTAAGAAATAGAACAACAGACTGTAGAGAGCTATAATTTCCTAGGCATGAGTCCAAAGGCACAAGTCCAGTGATGAGTTCATTTACTTACATGATCCACTGAATGTGCAGAAAGTGAGTTGGGTTTAACACCACTTGGAACCTTATTCCAGGTATATCATGCCATGTTTGCTTTAGTGAGTGAGTTGGGTTTTATGCCGCTTTTAGCAATATTCCAGCAATATCACGACAGGGGACACCAGAAATGGGCTTCACATATTGTACCCATGTGAGGAATCAAACCTGGGTCGCGAACACTTTAACCACAAGGCTACCCCAACGCCCTCCTGGATATGGTGCTGACAAACCATGAAACATACTTATAAGTCTAAACTTTGGATGGGTAGTATATATCGAACTAGTCTTCACACCAAGGATCAAAGGTTGCTGGTGTGCCCAAGGGACACAACTCTGCAAACTGAGTTATGCACCTCAGGTAACTATGCCTCCCATGCTGCCCATAGTGTTAGATGCCACATGAATACTTTATGTACTATGCATTTTGGATCCTCTGTATACACTAAACACATACCCATGAGAGTTGGTGATGCATAGATGCCGCCAGGCCAGTCTGGCTGGTTGAAGAACTGGAAACTGCGGTATTTCTTGTCCTTGTACAAGATCACTGAGGAACCTTTGGGGGCATAGCCATACTGAAATATCATACACAACATTGTCACTAACAGGATGAACAAAGAAATACTGGTGACTGAGGGACCTACCTTGTGAGTGTCTGCAGATATACTGGTGATGGAGGACCTACATTGTGAGTGTCTGCAGATATACTGGTGACCGAGGGCCTACCTTGTGAGTGTCTGCAGATATACTGGTGACTGAGGGACCTACCTTGTGAGTGTCTGCAGATATACTGGTGACCCAGGACCTACCTCTACGCTTGTGAGTGTCTGCAGATATACTGGTGACCGAGGGCCTACCTACCTTTGTGAGTGTCTGCAGATATACTGGTGACTGAGGGACCTACCTTGTGAGTGTCTGCAGATATACTGGTGATGGAGGACCTACGTTGTGAGTGTCTGCAGATACACTGGTGACCGAGGGCCTACCTTGTGAGTGTCTGCAGATATACTGGTGACTGAGGGACCTACCTTGTGAGTGTCTGCAGATATACTGGTGACGGAGGACTACCTTGTGAGTGTCTGCAGATATACTGGTGACTGAGGACCTACCTTGTGAGTGTCTGCAGATATACTGGTGACACTACCTTGTGAGTGTCTGCAGCAGGTGACTGAGGACCTACCTTGTGAGTGTCTGCAGATATACTGGTGACTGAGGGACCTATACTGGGACCTAGACTTGTGAGTGTCTGCAGATATGGTGACTGGGACCTGTGAGTGTCTGCAGATATACTGGTGACTGAGGGACTGCAGCTGAGAGTGTCTGCAGATATACTGGTGACCAAGGACCTACCTTGTGCATGACTGCAGATATACTGGTGACTGAGGGACCTATGTTGTGAGTGTCTGCAGATATACTGGTGACTGAGGGACCTACCTTGTGCATGACTGCAGATATACTGGTGACTGAGGACCTACCTTGTGAGTGTCTGCAGATATACTGGTGACTCCAGGAACACGGAAGTCAAATGGAGACAGTGGGAAGCCAGCTTTTCCCATGAAGGGTATCAAGAAGCCACCAAGGCAACTGTCTACATGAACAGGAATGTTGTAGTATTTGCCCAACTGTCAACAAGCAATAATAATCAGTCAGGAAACACTAAAGAAAATCTCACTCTCCACAAATGCAATAATTTCCAATACTAAATACTGCTGAATATGAGAGTGTCTTGTGGCATTCTTTTACATATAAATATCTCTATACATATGTAGCAATTAACATAAAGATACCATAAAAAGGGCAAAGGTATAAAGAATCTTATGGAGTAAGTCTCACTGACATATTACAGAGCTGTCAACACCACAAAGATTCACTGGATGACCCATGTTTGTCATAAGAGGCTACTAACGGGATCAGGTGGTCAGACTCGCTGACTTGGTTTACATGTCATTGTATCCCAAATGCGTAGATCAATGTTCATGATTTTGATCACTGGATTGTCTGGTCCAGACTTGATTATTTACAAGCCACTGTCATATAGCTGAAATATTGCTGAATGCGGCGTTAAACAATCGAGTCTAAAGTTTGTCTAAGGTGCCTGACTCTGAGGGTGTGGGTTCTCAAAAATTACTAGAATTTGTACTTTACTAAGAAAGTGTAATCCCAAATATAACATATGTTACATTCAGATTTCTTGTTCACAAGCCAAAGTGTACACTTCATTTTCTGGTGTTGTGCAGTAACTCTAAGGACACTTTTATTATGTACAAATGTATTTTAGTTCTTGTAGTTATCATAAGAGCATGAAGTGTATTGAAGACTACCACTCAAACTGTTACAGAGTTGACCATGTTATTTTACAACACATGAATCCAACACTTCAAAAGAGGAACATAACTAGGGATGTCAGATATGTTAACGGCTCTTTGAAAATACTGTTCCTTCTCTATTCTTGTAACATGAGACTTGCGAAATGAACTTACAGCGGCAATTTCCTCCACTGGATCAATCACTCCATGGGGGAAACCAGGAGCTGATGCAACAAGCTGAAATAATACAGAATTAAATGACCCATTGTTAGTAGAACTTGGAAATTTTTAATATAAATTGTATATTTATATACTTATCCTATCTCACGGTATGCACTTCTCTTTCTTGATTTGACACTGAGTGGAACGATGTAAACTTTTTTCCCTTGGCCTCTCTTGTCCATCTGCCCAAGCACTCCATGCTACCCTCATTATAAGACAGTTTCCTAGTTGTCATGCAAAGCATGCAGCATGCACCACTAGCTACCCACGGGACTATCTCTGAATCATCATTCTCATTCTTGGAGCCACTGGAATATCAATCTTGGAGAATCTGCGTAGCGGGGAGGATGGGCGGGAATCCGTCGCATGAGATAGAATAAGTATATAAATATACAATTTATATTTAAAATTTCCTCTGAACTCCTTGGCTTACTAAGCACAATGTCTCCCAGGGAGATGGGTGCTCCCGAGTGATGTGGTGTTCAGCCGCAACCTCCGGAGAAGGACGCAGCTCAGCGAGAAAGGATGTCACTTCACCACGATTTTCAAGGTACCCTCGTAAATTAAAGTCATAGACAATAATCGGGCCAGCCCCTGCTTCGAGAAGACCCCCACAGACACCGACCAGGGGCGGGTGAAAGAGAAGCACAACTCGGAAAACTCACAGTTTTAACGTTCACTTCCAGTCAACATCAAATTGATCCTCACTTCTTTACATAAGCTTAGTCAAAGGATGAGCCTTGCAACTTCGGAGTCGGAACGCAACGAAATCCACTGGAATTCGGGAGTGACACACATCACTGACGTAATTGCTTCGAAAAGTAGAGGTCAGGAAACGTGAAATGTCGAACCCTTCCACATCGTGATACAGAATTGAGCTCCAGATTCGTCCAACTACCGAGGTGGTAGTATCTCTGTGTCTTAGTATAAAACTAAGTGAAGTAGTTCTAACCCATAGGCAATCAAAACATAAGGCAGACATCAAATTCAGACTTATATTCAGGAAAGAGCAGGGAAGCAGAAACCGCGTGGGACCGTCCCCTATCTGCGTTATTGGGCCGTAGACAGCTGTTGTGCGACGTCCTTGACTGAGAGGTCCCGAAGGTAGTGGGAGGAGAAGACAGAGTCAGATAGCCAGAAGCATCCTTCCCTAATGGCGTGGAGAGAGCAGTTACTATGCAGAGCCATCGTAGATGCTAACGCCCGTGTCTCAGGTGGATTGGAAGCTGTCGGGGCTGGTAACCCAACGAAGGTGTAAGCCCATAGGATGGTGGCTTTCATCCAGAAGGATAATGTGGTGCGAGACACTTCCGCCCTGGATGTTGAGGACAATGAAGAGTCGCTTTCGGAGACGGCAGCAATCTTTAGAAGCAGCAAGAAAAATCTTTAAAGCCCTAACAGGGCAAAGCTGAAGGTCTTCATTGTCATGCGGCTCAAGGATCGTGGACAACGGTGGGATGGTAAAAGTACGATCGGGTTGTTCCGGCAACTGATTCTTCTCTACGAAATCCCAATGTGAGACCGAGGAATACTTTGCCATGCTTCTTCCGTTTGAACTGGACTCTGTTAACGTCCAAAGCGTGGAGTTCAGAAATCCGAGCAGCTGTAGCCAAGGCCACAAGGAAGAAGGTCTTGAAGGAGATCTTCTCAAAGTCCTTCTGAGCTAAGGGTTCATAGTTCGCCAAGGCCAAATGACGCAGCATCACAGACAATCCCATGCAGGAGGTCTAAACTTCTTAGACTGATTGGTCAACTTGAAAGAACGGAGCAAATACTGAAGCTCAGGAACTGTCAAAACCTTAGAGCCTGTGGTGGTAGCCAGGACCGAGTTGATCGCAGCAAGGTAAGTGGCCAAAGTCGAACCCTTGAACTTCTAGACGACCGCAAATGCTGAAGAAATTCAGCGACAATTTGAGGTGAACTAGAAATGGGAGATGTAATGCCGCTGGACGTGCAATATCCCTCAAAACACTTCCACTTCTCATCATAAAGTGAGCGGGTGGAAGTCCGATGAGCAGAAGTGAGGGCCATAGCCACTCTCCGAGAATACCCCTTGGCAATTAAGGACTTCTGCAGATGCGCCAAACGTGCAGAGACAGGTGAGGGTGAGGGTGTAACAGTAGGTCGTCCCGATCGGGAAGAAGAACTGGGTTTAGGTCTGCAAGGTGTGTGAGATCGACAAACCAACTCCTCGCTGGCTAGTAAGGCGCGACCAAAAGCAGTAGAATGTGTCTGGTCGCCCGGAGTTTGAGTTTCTGGATGACTCTGGGTAGAAGAGCACAGAGAGAGCACAGAGAGAGCACAGAGAGAGATAGAGAGAGAGAGAGAGAGAGAGAGAGAGAGAGAGAGAGAGAGAGAGAGAGAGAGAGAGAGAGAGAGAGAGAGAGAGAGAGAGAGAGAGAGAGAGAGGGAGAAAAAGAAGAAGGCGTGAGCGTTGAGCCCCTCACACGAAATCGCCAGAGCGTCGAGATCCCATGCTAGTTGGTCTGGTATCGGCAAGACGGGAGCTGATGGTTGAACCGCGTGGAGAAAATCCAAATATTGGTAGGCGGTTGATCCAAACGGTTCAGTGAACCATGTTTCCTCAACAAAGAAGAAAAACTAGGAGAGCCAACTGAGTTCGGCGAATCACCACAAGATGTATGATCCGGTGAAAAGCGCTTGTAGAAAGCCGTTTCAGTGAACATTGATTAGTGGAATGCCGGTCTAAGGTGGACAGTCCGGCGAGAGTCAAGCCGGAGGGGAGCGGACAGGCGAAGTGTGATCCGGCAAACTGTGATTCGATCTGGCAGGCAGAAGACCGAGGTAGCTGGATGCAAGGAACAACACTTCTTTTCGCCGAATGGGAAGGAGACGGCGAAGTAACCACTGACAGGCGTTGAGGCGAGATAGACTGGTTCCTCTCACTACTGGACAAATGACGAGAGCGAGAACGGCTTCTGCGCAGTCAGGCGTAGAGATCAACTGATTCTTGTCCGAAACAGATGAGCCAGGTTGCCGAGATAACTGGTCTGGAGAACGAGAGGCAGAGAGCATAGTTCCAAGGCATGTGTAGAGGCATCCTGAGGGGTGGTAGCAGTCTCGACAACCACTACCCGGGACGTGGTCGAAGACGAAGGGCTCAGGCTGGAATGTTGAGAGCCCAACAAATTCCGAAGGTCTTCCAATAAGTAAGAAGCTGACGACGCTCTCATGAAATCCTCTTCATTCAAGGAAGGGGACTGTGACCGCCGAGGCGACAAAGTAGGACGCTTAAAGTTAAACTTTCCTTTCATGGAGGGACTGGGTCCGTCAAGTGAAGCGGCATAACGAGCTCTGTCAGCAACATGACGAGCGCAAGCCCAAGTGTAGTCACCAAATGCCTCAAAGGTAAGATCCTTCAATTTATCGCAACGAGAGTCCCATTTACACTGTCCCACACAGTCAACACAATATGCATGTGGATCACTCGTGGAGAACACTTTATTACACCGGGAGCATTTCTTCCTCATTTTTGGCTGGTCAACTTCCCCATGTTGTGGACTAAGTTGAAAACGTTGAGCAAAGCAAAACACGTTCACACTCATGTGCAACAAGAAAGAGAATGATGATTTGGAGATAGTCACGTGGGTAGCTAATAGTGCATGTCGCGTGCTTTGCATGACAAGTAGAAAGCTGTCTTATAATGAGAGTAGCATGGAGTGCTTGAGGGGATGGACAAGAGAGGCCAATGGAAAAAAGTTTATATCGTTCCACTCAGTGTCGAATCAAGAGAGAGAAGTGCATACCGTGAGATAGGATAAGTTTAAAAATATGAATTTGTACTCACTACATTCTTCCATCACTTGTGAATACATACACTTTACTAATGAGATGTACACAATGTCATTTACAAAAAACAAACAAGAAGACAAAGTCATCAATATTCCCGGAACGGCAAAATACTCTTTATGAATATGCTAGTTATGATTATGTCAAATGTTTTGGAGTGTATACAGCAAAGTGGAAGGAGAGTATTGAAAGGTTTTTAAGATCTGCTCCAGAAAGGAGCACTACCACCAAATTCAGTTGAAGCCTAACTTGTTGCCAGGGAAATGCAACAAGATGACATCCTCATAGTCACAGCATAAGTCATGTTTCCATGAAAACCGCAAAAAATAAAATTCATATCAGGGTCTAACCCCCAAAAGGCACATCTAGGGATCATGCTTGACATATGTACCAGGTTTGATGAAGCTAGCAAGTATAGTTTAGGAGATCTGCTCCGGACAAGATGACATCCCCATAGCCACAGCCTAAGTCATGTTTCCATGGAAACAGCAAAAAATAAAATTCGCATCTGGATCTAACCCCAAAAGGCACATCTAGGGATCATGGTTGACATGTGTACCAAGTTTGGTTAAGCTATCAAGAATAGTTTCGGAGATATGCTTCCAACAAAGTGTGACGGATGGAACTCGTTTTTATATCCCCCGCAACTTCGTTGTTGCGGGGGATAATAAAAAAAATGTCCTCTTTATTATGTATGCCATTACAATAATCCTAAGAAAGCCCAGTTAGAATAGGCCTCAGGCACCTTACTTCTGGTTGTGAGGGGCTAAAAAAAATTGGATTGATTTGTTTATTGACAATCAACCTCCAACTGCGTGAAATGATGCTAATGTTTACAGTTACTTGTTTGACTAGTCCAGACTTGATTACTGCCAGTCATATATTGGTAACTTCAAACAACTGATATGAAACAACATTCACTAACTCACTTTTCTATTCTGAATGGGATCTGGGACCAGATCCTCAAAAGGTATGATAAACTACACAATTAAGATAGCATGTAAGTCTATGAACGCGTTGTGGACGGAGACCCTGATACTGAAGTACAGAACTCACCATGACAGTGTTCCTACTGATGGCTCTCCTCATGGCTTTCACATTGGCCTTCCTAGTCTCTGGGTCCACGGGAATGTGTGTGATCTTCATGTGGAGAAGATGGGCGGCCTGAAAACAGACATGAAGTCTCCATGACCATAACACAGAACATCTAAATCACAGATCTTCTTCTACAAACAAACTGGTTTGGTGATCCTGTACTTTCATCTTTGTCTTTTACCATGTATTAACTGACTGAATTGCACTTAAGCAACTTTGTCAATGTCTGAGTAACCAGACCTAAAACAGTGCTCTAACACACTTTTGTACATATGTTTTCATTACATGTGTGAAATATCTTACAGAAAAGATATACTTGTGCCTATTTATTGGCCATCATACTTGAATATCCACTATATTGACAAATCATATTACTTTGTTTCACTGTCTTAATCCACGATGGAGGATATTTAACAAAACTCACCTTATCAAAAGCTGCATGAGCTGTGACTGGTACAATGCTGAAAAGAGGATAACTATGTGAATGGGCTATCTGTTCCCTATACATTCAAAATTTCAAACTTTTCCATACCGTAAATAGGCAGTCATTGACAACCAAAACACTCAAACATCATTCGAGACCTTAGCAATTTTGCTGACACATATCACCAATATGTAATTTTTAGTGTAAAATTGATATTTTATACTTATCCTGACTCATGCTTTTTTGCTTGTCTTCTTCTTCTTGTGAACATAGTGGAACACTTGTATCTCCTTCATTGAAGCTCCCTTCAATGTAAAATCACTAATTGGTACTCACCACGAGTTGCCTCCCTTTGCCCTTTTGGTGGGAACAGGTGTCGCCACCCTCTGGCCTCATGCTTCACTCTCTCCTGATTTTGCGAGCCCAACACTTGAATTTACAGGGAAATCCAAAGTGTTATGTGAGGAGGATGGGAGGAGCTTATTCATGAGTCAGGATAAGTATAAAATATCAATTTTACTCTAAAATTACATATTTTTCCTTATCCTGACTCATGCTTTTGCTTGTAGAATCTGACGGAACCGAGGTGGGAAAACAGAATACTTTGGATTTATAATTAGTGATTTGAATAGATATAACTGTAATAACTCCCTCACGGAACTTCATGAAGGCATAGACTTAGGATATTTCCTCTATTATGAACCATAGGTTATATAATGCCATAACTGGGGTATTACATTAATAATATACTGAGATATATTACATAGATATAAATAATGAAATATAAAAGCGACTGATAGAGACGCTGTATAACTGAACATAATATCAGTATAAGCTTAAGGCTGAATAACTTAAGCTAAGTATATACATAGCCCTAGAACTCCGTAGAGTTATAAGCTAGATAATGTATGTATACCATACATAATAATCTCGTGAGGGTAATTTTTAATGCCTACGAGGGACTGTCAGCTGCTGAGCGAGGACCAAGGGACCGAAATGGTGAATGCCAGATACGTCCTCGGTGGTGATATCTCTCAGATAGTGATTAGCAAACACCATGTTAGATTTCCAAAAGCATCCTTCCATAATTGTGTTCAATGAGCAGTTACCGTGTAGGGCGAGAGTAGAAGCCAATGCCCTGATCTCATGGGGATTTGATGCTGTTGGAGGGTCCAAGCCTGCTGCCTTGTAGGCACCAAGTATGACAGTCCTTATCCATATAGATATGGTGGTACGAGAGATTTCTGTCTGAGTTGTTGCCGACAAGGGGATGAATAATCGTTTGAGCAATCTTCGCCTTGTTTTGGAACGTCGTAAATAGATTCTGAGAGCTCTGACTGGGCACAGCGATAAGTCTAGTGTATCTTGAGATCCGAGAATCGAAGATAGTGTCGGGACGTGGAATAACCTGTCTGGTTGACCTGGTAGTTGATTTTTGGCGATGAAATCCCATCTTAATCCCAGGTGCGCTGTGTTTTGATTGTCATCAAACTGTATCCTCTCATAATCCAGAGCGTGAATTTCGGACATTCTGGCTGCCGTGGCTAGAGATAACAGGAAAAGTGTTTTCTGTGAGAGAAATTCAAAGGTTGTCGATTCCAATGGTTCATAAGCCTCACTTGTGAGGTGTTGTAGCACTACATTCAGATCCCAAGCTGGGGCGTGGAACTTCCGCTTTTGGTCCTCCAATCGGAAAGCACGTAGTAAGGCCAGTAACTCTGGCGACTTAGTCAATTTGACACCCGTTCTCATCGTAAGCACAGAACTAAGCGCGGCAAGATATGTTGATCATGTCGAGCCTTTTAAATGTTTGTTTTGACAAAGGTAACACAAATAGTCTGCCACTTGAGGATGTGTAGCATCTCTCGCTGTAAATCCCTTATTTGCTGCATAATTTTCGAAACTGTGCCACTTGTCGTCGTACAAGTTTGGCGTAGAATACCGTAAGGCAAGCGTGGACCGCTTTGCCGCCCTGGCAGAATATCCTCTCTTGTTTAAACACATTTTAATACAGTCCATACGTATGAAGTTGGAATACTTCTGGGCTTCCGATGCACCTGTTTGGTGTGTGGATGTATTAACCGATTTGAGCGCTTTGGGTAGCTCTAGTGCCGGTTGACCGATTTCTTGAATTAGAATGGGAAACCACGCTCTGGCCTGCCAGTAGGGCGCGACCAAAGTGAGTTGTAGGCTCTGTGTTTGTCTGATTTTCTGTAATACTTGAGGCATTATTACTGGCGGCGGAAACGCGTACGCATTGAGGCCTTCCCAGGATATGCTTAGAAGCGTCGTTGCCCATGCTTGTGGGTCTGGGCCTGGTGACACGAATAATGTCGTAGCTGATTGTTGAATCGTGTGGCGAATAGATCTACTAGCGGCGTTCCTATTTGCTTGGTTATCTGTGCAAATATCTCTGTATTGAGCATCCATTCTGTCGGTGACGGTTGATGTGGCCGAGAGAGTGCGTCTGCTAGTACATTTCTGGCTCCGGGAATGTGACATGCTCTGACATGTAGATTTAGATCGTGGATTAGATCGAACAGTTGAAAGCTTAAGTTCAAAAGGTTCGGTGATCTCGTTGAGCCTTGTCTGTTCACATAGAACGCCACTGCCATGTTTTCGGTATGAATCATTAGGTGCGCATTTTGTAGAATGGTGCTCCAATGCAGTATGGCGTTGATTACAGCTTTCATCTCTAACATGTTTATATGGAGCTTGCTTTCTTGCTGATTCCATAACCCTGATGCCGTCCGGTTGGCGAGATGAGCTCCCCAACCTTGGAGTGACACGTCTACATATAGATAGGTTTTGAATTCCTGCTCTGCTAAACAAATCCCTTCGCAGACATTCGATTTCTTTGTCCACCATAGTAGATGAGGTCTGAGACGTTTCGGTAGACTGAATGGTTGTAGGTCAGACGAGATGCATTGATGAAGACCTGTAAGGGACGTAACTGTAATCTGCCTCTGACTGTCATGTCTTGGGCTGATGTGAGGAGACCTAGTAGGCTCTGCCACTGTCGAAGTGGTAACGGAGAGAGTAGAGCTGGTGGAATGGTCTGTTGGATCTTGGTCCAACGGTCTTCTGGTACGACGATCACGGGTTGAGATTCGTGATAAATCGAATGCCTAGGAACTGCAGGTCTTGGCGATGGTACTAGGTCCCGACTTGAGTAAGTTTACTAACCATCCTAGCTGTGTTAGTAGCTTTATGATGTAGTTTAACTGTAGTTTGAGACGCTGTGGATCTTGATCTACTTTGTATCCCGTCAGTCGAGGTAAAATGCACTGCAAGTGAGCCCCCTTGACGCGATGTAAATAGGCTTACAATCGGTTTCGTTATCCTCGGGTGAGCAGCCAGGGGCTGATGATATTCCAAATGGGCTGATTTCTTCCACTGGTAATGTAGCCCGCCTAGTGTAAACCGTAGGTATTTCCTGGATTCAGGATGTATGGGGATGTGCAGATATGCATCCTGTAGATCTATACTGCCCATGTAGTCCATGGGGCTTAATCAACTGTCGTGTGAACTGAGGTAGATGTATCATACCTAAACTTCGTGGTTTTATGCGAGATAACTTTGCTGAAGAAACTCATGTTGTAAATGAGTCTGTATTTCTCCTTGGAGTTTTCTCTGGGTACTAGGAAAACTGGGGAGTAGAAACCTGGTTCGCTGTTTCTTTGATCTATTACTTCTATGGCCTGCTTGGTTAGGAGTGATGTAACAGCCTCTTAACTTTGGTAGTTGATGTGCCTGTAAGTCTAACTTGTGAGGGTTGACTGTCAGCGGAGGCTTGGCCTGTAGTGGGATAAGAAATCCGTGGTTGAAGAATGTTGGAGACATAAGGGTCTTGTAACATTCCCCAGTTTTCCCAGAGAAGTTGAAGGCACTCCACCCACTTGTGATGGTTGTAATGGAACGGCTGGGGTGGAAGACTCCAGTCGTTCAACCTGTCTTCAACGCTTATAGTTGCGGAACCTCTGGGTGTCCTGCCTCTTCCTGACCCTCCTCTATAGTTGCCATATGGGCGAATTTTAAAGAATCTTTTCTGAGCTGGCTATCTTCCTGTCTCTTTTGCTCTCTGTAGACCCGTGAATTTAGATCTCCTGAGTATCTTTGGTGAAGTCTGTCGGATGACGTGGCTGAGTGTGTCCATCGATTTAATCATCAGGACTTCTCTGGAATCCTTAGTGACTTCCTTTGGAGACTCTGTCTATTCCTCCGCCAAAGATGGATGGGGAAGACCACGGGGCTGTATATAGTGGAGCTGTAAAGTTCTCACCCCAGCTGCAGGAAGCGAGGAGGCCTTGACGACGAGCTATGGTCAGTGCTGCTGAGACAGATGTGAGATGATCCGTTAGGAACTGTTGGTCCTTCTTTTGCATAAGTAGGGCCGAGTAAATCATTCTATCATCTTCAGAGGTCGTGTTACGAAATCTGGTGATAAGTGTCTCATTGATCGTTCTAGATCTATTTAGACCAATAGTTAAATTAATGCAGTAACTCCAACGTGAATCAAACGCACAAGGCGTAGAACAACTAGGGCATACTACATGCGGATCGGCAGCGGAAAAACGTAATCTACAAATAGTACAGATTTTCATCAACGTAATACTAGCTGAACAATCACGAACTCACGTGAATAAACAGTAGAACTACGACTAATTATCAATACAAATTAATGAAGGATACTAGCTATACCTTTATAGTAAACTATAAGAGGTAACTAACTAAGAAAAACCAAAGGATATAGTGTGTAAGGGAGACACAGGCGCCTCACATCCTGCTCACTGGGCTTAAGAAGGAGAGAGTGAAGCATGAGGCCAGAGGGTGGCGACACCTGTTCCCGCCAAAAAGGGCAAAGAATAATAGTATTTTGCATTATGGATGAAATTCATTAATTTAAAAATAATACCTTTATCAGTGAAATATTGTGGCCATACAGAACAAATAGCAGTGAAATACATTAATGGATGAGAATTATGTGTACAAGTTTCTAAGCAAAACATGGCACTACATACATTTCTGCAAACTTGATCCCTCGTTCCTCCCTGGCCATGTTTCTGTAGGCCAGGCATGCCAGGAGAATGCTCTCTGTACCCCCGCAGCTCATCTGTACACACAGTGCAGTGATAAAGTCAGTATAGAAGTCAGTGAGTGAGTAAGTGAATATCATTCTGCCTTAGCCAGCCGTACACCTGCTATATCACTGCAGCTTCCATATAATTAATCCGGGTTAGAATTGGTCTTAAGCGACCCATGGGATCAGGTGGTCAAACTCACTTACTTGGTTGACACGTCATCGTATCCCAAATGTGTAGATCAATGCTCATGCTGTTGATCACTGGATTGTCTGGTCCAGACTCGATTTACAGACCGGCACCATATAGCGGGAATATTGCTGAGTGTGGTGTCAACCAACCAACCAAACAATCCATATACTTACATCTGATAGCCTGACATGTATTGACAATGGCATGACAATTTGTTTTAACTTTACAGCACAAGTGTACACTTAATACACCAAGCATCATCACCAGGACCCATTTAAATCCTGGATTCTGACATGACCAAGGGACATAACTGGACAGTACACTGCTGAGCCTAATACCACTGGCCAACTGAAAGTCTGAATCAGTACTTCAAGTAGTCTTCCAAACACAGCTAGATATTTACTTACTGTTCCACAAGTCTGAGGGCCACCATTGAACATAGAACAGGACATCCTGACAACCTCTGCCTCCATCTTCCTAACATCAGGGAAGACCTCGGGATGCAGTGGGTTAGTCCATGCAAACATACTGTAAGCCTGCATAACAAATACATACCAGGTAACTTACAGGGATCAACATAAGGAAACACTAACAACAGTGACCCCTAATTTTAACATTGTAAAGAATGGGACCATATCATATAATGATTTTTATGGAGAAGCATGTCCAATGTAAATGGGGACACCACCACCCACCCCAATTTATGTAAAAAGTAAGTGACACCCCCACCCCCATATGTCATGTACAAAATCATTGACCACCTCCATAGTCCATGTGTACAAAATTGACGACCCATCTACCTCCCAAGAAGAAAATGTGTGACTGCCACTTAAAATCATCATCACACACACCCCATAAATTATGAACGGTCCCTAAGATACTACTGTTTCCTACTGTTCAGCTGAGTGGTCAATATGCCAAAGTGTACAGATGTACAGATGTTTGATACATCTTTTACATACATCATCAATCTTTTTATTTCAGTTCGTAACTATGTACAAATGGTCGAGTTTGGGACTCATGTTATTGACAAAGGACACCTTGGACTAACACATTTATTGAGTAATGTCTGCATACTGATTCAATAAATTTGACTGATTTGTTACACTCTTGGTTCCTTAAAGGTAGACACCAGCTTTCAATTCATCTGCTTGAAAGCTCAGGACCATAGTTTCAGACCATTGGTGTATGACACCTAATTAGATTCTGGAAAAACCATATTTTCACTAGTTTCAGATTAACAGGCTCTTAGTGTTCATGCCTGGGTCAGTAACATCAAGATTAGGCATGTCCCAGGTGCTGCTGTACAAATCAACCTTAGCTCTGAGACTGCCATAAGTCTATGTTAAGGTATTGGACTTACAATCACCTTAGCACTAAGATCACTTTGTATGACAACATGTTCTAATCAGAGTACCCACTACATAAATGATGCTCATACGTAATATTTGTAATAAATCATTAATTATGAACACAACAAAATGCATATTTTTCATTTCCCCACCTTGGTCATGACTTCTGTTAGTACAGGATCACCACTGTAGACTGCACCAGACACCAAGCCCTTCTCCCATGGGATCTTATCTGGTGGTGAAAATACAGCTCACTTGAACATCAGTTATTAATCAATACAGTTTAACCAGGGTTTTAACCTCAATTCACAAAAATAGGGGTTCCGGGGACCTCTAATTATTAGTTTTAAGGGTCCTGTGTAAGTAACGGTGAAGAGGACTGTATGTTTTGATATTATCTGCAGAGCCTGGAATGAATCATTGATCATGTGGACTGATGGGTGAAATGATGCATGTAACTGCTCTGACAGAAACAACCAAAACTTAGCAAAGTCAAAGACTTGTTGTGGGTACAGTGAATAATATTGTGCATCCCTTTGGAGGAAGTGCTTCCATTCTCTACATTTGAACGAACTGGATGCACATTTGCACGGAGAGTAAAACCCTGGTTTATACGCACTGTTTGCATTTTTCATGAATATCACAGATGAGGATACCCACAATAGACTCAACCCATCAGGGAATATATACCTGAACACATTCAGCACTAGGCTGTTAGACTAATGTGAAAGGTACAGTTATGATAAGTGAACAGTAGTAATGCTAAAGGACATTTTGAATAAATACAAGACAATTCTGAACATGTACAATAGAAAACAAAGTGTAACACAAATAGCTTATTAAAAAAAAATTACATTTCGCACTACTACATACCTAAATTCCTGTATCTCTCAAGCTCCTTCATGAGTTCAACCTGGAAAAACAACAAATACAAAGGTATTGTATTCATAGGCTGCTAAGGGCTACTACCTTCCCATGGTACATCATCAACACTTCCTAGGTTTGTATACAATAAGCTCTAGACTAATCTCTGAAAAATGTAACTCTGAGAGAAACAAACAACTCCATTTGAACTGAGGAAAAGCATCATTTAGGATGTTTGTAGGTGAGTGAAAACACAGCATAAAGCTAAATTTCAGCAATACCAGCAGAAATGGGCTAATAAACATGTGCAAGTGTTTTTGTTAGGACAAGTAAATACTTAAACCACAAGGTTACCACAGCCACATAGCACTTTATGATACTCCATTCACCACCACCATCTTCATCATCATCATAAACAACTGACACCTTACCTCTGTCAGGCCTTCTCTTGGTAACTTCAGGACAAAAGCAGATCCCTCTGTACCATGGTATCTCAGTGGGCTAGCACTATAGAGATTCCTCCATTCCTTTCACATTCTTTTCCAACTCTTCCTCAATCTTCTTCTTCACATATGGAATTTTCTTCACCCATTTGAAGAAAGTCCTTTTGCTCCTTACTTGTAAACCTTGCAAACATAATTCAAATTGTGCAAACCAAAAATCCCACTGGTGTGAATCATTCGATAGCAATAACTTTTTTCATTTCTAACATATCAGGTATAATTAATAGAATATCTTTTACCTATTATTTTCTATAGTCAGTACCGAAGAAATCATGAAATCCCTCTAACTGTCACACATATCAAAGGTCACTAGGTGCATGTGACTGTCAGCTACTTCCTTCCTTACCACTTCAACAATAAAATTTGCCATTGGTGACATATCCCATGGAAAGTTGTCTCATGAAAACTGACCACAGACAGCTCAATACAGCCATATCATTTTTACAATAAAACATTGTCAATATTTCAGATCTTCGTGGATTTGTACATGTTCTTGCATCCCCTGTGAATAAACATAGCCATTGTTGTACAGTAGTGAAGTGTGTCTGTTTTCAGTAAACAATGAAAGGAGGCCATGTATTAGTCATGATGGTCAAATGAGCCCTGTCCGGTACATGTTTGTATGAACTCCACTGTTGTCTGATACTGGAGCAATTGGCAAAGTAAATAGCCAAGGGATTGAGGCATATGTTGAATGAGAAATATTGGAAATTTTGAGAATTTAAAGATTGTAATTTTTTTTTTTTTTCACTCATAACTCACGTAACCATAAATTGTATATTTACAGTACAACCAGAATTTTTATTTTTTTTCACTCATTACTCACGCACACGTATTAAATGTGAATATTAGCAGAACATAACTCCAGATTCAAAGACAGGTGAACAGTTAGTATTTTGTCAAGTCACCATGGGCAGCTATGCAGGCTTCAATGAGAGGGGCAGAGGTCAGGTTGTCAGAGGCCAAGAAGTTTGATTCAACTTAGCCTACAGCACGTTTCCACATATGGTCGTAGAAGAAGAGAGGTGCATACCGTGAGATAGGATAAGTTTAAACATTTGTCATTTGTGCTCTGAAATCTGAGCAGTAGATGGTTTCCTTCTCCAAAGAACAAGGCCATGATTTGTGTTATGTATTAAAAGTAGCAACTACTCTGTAAAGTATATGTATGTATTCACAGGTGATGGGTTTGGTTGTTAACGCTGCACTCAGCAATATTCCAGCTATATGGCGGCGGTCTGTAAATAATTGAGTTTGGACCAAACAATCCAATGATCAACAGCATGAGTATCAATCTATGCAATTGGGATACAATGACGTGTCAACCAAGTCAGCGAACCTGACCACCCGATCCAGTTAGTCTCCACTTACGACAAGCATGGGTTGCTGAAGACCAAAGCGGATCTTCATGAGTGCCCAGGTGACGAAGGAACGCGTCGTTTTATAAAAACACCATTTTTCATTTACCATGTTGACCAAAATATCAAGTCAACAATTAGAAAGAAACAACAGGGCTATTGTTGCAATCATTACATATGATGAGTGAGCCTTACTTTCCTCCCCATTCAGGAAGTCTTTGATCGCTATGGCAATGACAGTTCCTCCACATGTGTACACCACTATCTGCCATGGCTCAAGCCCCTTGCACAAAGTCATTCAGTCGGCCCTTAGCACCATCCAGCAGGGGTTGAATAGGACCCTGAAACAACAAATGTAGGATGTTAGTAACATTCTTTCACAATTGTGCATGGCCCAGCTGTTTTAATTACTTGCTTTATGGTCTACAAAATCTACAAATGTGGAAAAAACATGCAAAAAATTTTTATTCAAAAATCCAAAACTACCAAAAGGTACCAGTAGACCACCAGACCTATGTATGTGCCAAGTTTGGTGAAGAAACATTGAACATTTCTGCTCCAGAAAAGAGCACCAATACAACAAGCAATTTCAAAATCAAACTTGTTGCCATGGAAACACATATAATATTTTCTTTACAAATCCAAAACTAACAAAGGCACACATTTACCACCATACCTATCTATGTGCCATGTTTGGTGAAGAAACAAAAGAGCACTACCACCAATTTCAGACAAAGTCAAACTTGTTGCCATAGAAACACATTTTTTTCCAGAAATCCAAAACTACTAAAAGGCACCAGTTCACCACCAGACCTATCTGTGTGCCAAGTTTGGTGAAGAAATATTGAAGGTTTTTATGTTCTCTGGAAAATACGAAAGTGCACGGACGGACACATGGAAGGATGGACAGAGTCCAAAATAATATGGTTTTACCCCCTGCAAAACGCGTTGTTGGGGATAAGTAGGTTATCAACAGGAAGCAAAACAAACAATGCACTTTGAAATTACTAAAAATGGTTTCACTAATATCTGTGTCTCTATCAGGTTTACGAGTTATATGCATTATGATATTTTCTTGTAAGGCTAAAATCAGTAAAATTACCTTTAGGATTACTAAAATCAATACTAAAATCCATCTCAACAGATGATAAACAAGATCAGATGAGCAGAGTTTGCATCACTTTCTTCATTAAAACTAAACACATACCACAATAGAAACAGTATATTCTTCAGTTACTGAAATCCTATCCAGCTCTTTTGGGTGTGATCTGAAAGTATTCCTTTGACTTGAAAGTATTCCATTGATTCCAAAGGATTCCTATGATTTGCATCTCCAAAGATATGGTCAAGAAATGGGAAAACACACAACCAGTTTGAACATGCTCATTCCTGCTACTACAAACACTGCTCATAGATTAGGCCATCAACTTGATGAGGTGTAATAGATTTGAAATCGACTGTTCGGAAGTGTTAATTCATATGAAATACACCTATTGACAAACTGCAGTACATAGTGTCCATGGTGACTACCTCATTCATTATTGATCAACAGTGATTGATGACAACACTATTGATTCATGCTTAATTATTCAACAAAGTATTTAAAACATTCATAGTGTGACTGAGCTGAGCGTTTGTCAACAATACAGTGCAGGTAATTCCACATTCTGTAATCTCATTCACCTGTGAATTGTTGCACAGACTATTTTGCCTTGATACAGCCATATCCAAACAGAGGATCCACATGAAAACAAGGGTCAGACTGAAAGACTCATAGACTTTCCTATGCAAGACTTGGAGAACCAGATTCTACAAACAGTTAATCATGGGACTACTTGCTGGCGTTGGATAGTGACATTGACAGCAGCAGCACTAGGGACGACTCCATCACTCTGATGCATACAGAAATAGAGACGTTCTTCAAAATAAAGGGGTAGGTTAGACACAAAGGAGCTGTTGCAAAGTTAACATGAAAATGATCTGTTTCAAATGAATACTTGTTGGTATGTTTCTGCTTTCTCTTTAGACATAAAAGACCTGTGCTGTTGCTAAGATAACATGAAAATGATCTGTTTCAAATGAATACTTCTTGGCATGTTTCTGCTTTCTTTTTAACATTGTTGAGTGAAGAAGACTGCAATTTGATTCAAATGATGAAAAATGTCCAAAATTATCAAAAGTTTGGGGACACACATGTCGATAGAACTGGCAGCAAGAGGTGTATACACCTGTAAGAAATGTAATAGAGAGGTATAAATACAACACAGATGAGATATGCATGTTGAATAAATCATTTTATGTAAACAAATTCTTTTTTTGATACATAAACAATTTGCAAGATTTGGTGGCAATCAATAACAAAGATGGCCTCTTCCTGGAGATCATCTGGTGATGTGTTGCTAACTGGAGAATCCTGCTGGGAGGGCATCTGGCAGGGATGGTGTTGTCAAGTTCATTAGTTGATGGGGAGGGAAAGTCTGTTATGTAATAAACAGTCACGGCACTGACTCAGATTTCCTGTCAGCATTGAGCAGTGTTATAAAACAAAGACCAGTGCTTGGTTCATTATGTAACATAAAGTCCCACCTGTTTTGAAGGAGCATTAGGTTACTTCTCCTGTTTACCACTGATTTCATGAAGAAAGATGAATCCAGTAAGATTATGTGCTATGATTACTTCAGAACTCATCAAAACTGAACCATATATTTTATCTCACTCAGATGAGTGCGTGAGTGAGTGTGTGTGTATGGTTTTACACCACTTTTAGCTACATTCCAACAATATCATGAGGGACAGCAGAAATGGGCAATGATGATGATGATGATGATGATGTTTTTTTCATTCATTTTTACAAATGACATTGAAGATATACATTATGTATATTTTCACTCACATAACTCTGAAAACAGTTTCAGATTTTCACTCTACATATACATAATACAGGTTTTAAAAAACTGATGTACTGATGCTACTGAAGTGAAAGTATCTTAAAACATAGAAGTCTTTGATGATGTAAATATAGTGTTAATGTAAGCTGTCTAGCTTGCAACTGCATGAACAGCATGGGTTACCTGTCTATCTTGCTACCTCAGTACATGCAACTATTGCCTATAGATATGATAGTGAGCCATCTGACTTACATATTTCCTTTACTAGATGTCTGGGTGCTGAATAATTTTGCACAAGCTGCTGAGCCAGCATCCATCATACAAAGGACAAATTTGCAGAAAATGTCCATTACTATTTATCAATAAATCACAATATTGACAGTAGCGAGTGACCTTGTCTAGATTTGTCACTATTTGTCATGGACACTTGTCAGAGATGTGTCAAGCTAGTCAAAAAATATGACTAGCTTAGCAAATTACATCCATAAAAACTGCTGACCAAAGCAGATTGTTAGTCATTCATCTGCCTTTAAAGGCCTAGTGGTCTCTGTCTGACTCTGTGAAAACTGCCCTGCCTCATATAGTTGTTCTGTAAGAACAAAAACATCCATTTTTTTGTATGGCACTACGACTCATGCTGTTTGAAGAGTGTCAGAGGTGTTACACAACCACCAAGCCAGCTGTTGTTCATTTCTAAATGAATGTCAGTATGTTGTATGTCAATTGAGTGGAGAGTTACAGAACTGTCAATATTTCACACATCATGGAATCATTAGGACACACCTTCATACGACCTTTACATAGATCATGTATATATGAAGGATAACCAAAACGAAGCCTTTATTTGTTGTTACAGAGCTTGCTTTGCCTCTCAAAAGAAACAACACAGTTTGAAGCATCACAGAGTCTGCTCGTGTGAGGCACTGCCTTCATCAGTTGATGAATGTCAACATATACATCTTCAATCCTTAAATATTTACAGCAGCCAGTGACCTCATGTAGATGAACACTGGCAAGCCAGCTGTCATTCATTTCCCAATGAATGTCAGTATGTTGTATGATTACATTGGCAATTGATTGGAGTGTTTGATGAATGTCAACACATATATAACTTCAATCCTTAAATATAAAAGACCCAACATATAATAGAAGCCCAGCTACAATTATTTGAACAGAGCATATGACCGTCATCAATTCAAGGTCGGCATGTATTAGAGGAAAATAGAGGACATATGGTACACTGTTATATATTCCTTAGTCAGTGTTCACAAATGGTGTTTCAAAGTAACAGGACATTGGGTCCTGTAAGTTTCAGATATGTGTCTGACCAGTTGAAAATTCAAAGGACCCATAGAATAAAATTAAACACACATATCAGATTTACCATTTTTTATAATTGGCATTGAAATTATTAACAAACATAAGATTTATAAACAGGAAACAAGTGTTACATGCCACATATAACAACTTCAGTCAGTCATTGTGAAACATACAGTCAGACACTGGGGCCGGTGGGTTGTAGACTTCTATCAGACCGTTGGCGAATCTGCCGGATTTGGTCAGACGCTATTCGTGAACACTGCATAGTACTTACAAATTTAGTCTGTCTCACAGTCCCTGAACCACATTATATCCCTACTGCCTCACCCTCCCTGCAATGCTGAAGCCCTAAATGAAGCAAGTCTAGATTACCTCAGGTTCTGAATTTCCCACCTCACTTGGGCTCTTTTTCAATTTAAATGGGTTATTTTTAGGGTTGGGCGATAATACCGGTTAACCGGTATATCGCAAATTCGAACTTCGCAATACAATATATTGTGGTACACTTTTCGCAAACCGGTTCACCCAATATGATCGGCAATTTTTGTGACTATGATCGGTAATTTTTTCGTGATGTAGTTAAAAACATCATTATACATTAATAGTTTTGAGAATGTATATTGGTCAATCACATCTGTGTCCTGACAGTGGCATTGTTTCAAATGAAAGGAAGACAGTAATTTCATCACCTTAGTTAACCGATTCAACACTGCAGGCCGGAAAACCGGCCAAGACGTCACAAGTCCCCACACACCAAAAGGCCTGTACACCGGCCAGGCAGTAGGCGCATCAAAATGGTATATAATTTTAGGAACCTACCTAACAAAAAGTAACATATGATTCACTTATTAAATCCATCACTTTTCACAATGTCTGAAAATACATATTACATTTCAAATGAACATATATTATCGACAGAATTAGAATTATAAACTATTTTTCGCAATGTTATTGAAAACCAAAAACGATTTGGCAACGGGTCCATATCAAAGTTGCCAAAGAGCAAAGTGACGATGTTTCAAGGAAATAATTAAACAAATTGAATAAACTAAAGAATAAAATCAAGAACCGTACTCATAAAAGTTGTTCCATCTTTTTGAGTGCAATCATGAAATGTAAGCCAAATAACATTT